CTGTCTCTAACCCCCCCATCCCTCTCTCTCTCTCTCTCCATGCCCCCTCCCCCTCTCCCTGTCCCTCTCTCGGCGCTGAGGCAGGGCTGCGTATCAGACAGCAGGTTAATAATGCTAAATTATTCAGTTTGAAGTCGTCCATACACGCTCCCCTCTTTTAATTCAAGGGTTTGATTGCAAAAAGCAATTCAGCCGCCACACCACACTGCGTAAGAGGGGAAACCGCTTTAAAGCATCAGGGCTACATTTCAGCTCCCCTCAATCCACCCTACAACGTTCGGTATCAATATTTAGGGATAATATGATTAAAAACAGTTGTAATCATAAAAAAGGAGGAGAAAGACTAAGACTTGATTCATATGTGATTATAAGTGCGCTTTGTACCTGGGTAACAATGTTAGTTACTATGTAGTATACTAAATATAAACAGCCCCTATAACACACACTCACTGAGATATTAGGAACACCTCCTTGTACACCTACACCCTGATCGTACACACTATATGGACCAAAGTATTGGGACACACCTCTTAATCACTGAATTCAGGTGTTTCATTCAGTCTCATTGCCACAGGTGTATAAAATCAAGCAGCTAGCCATGCAGCCTGCCTTTACACGCATTAGTAAAAGAATGGGTCTAAAGAGCTCAGTGAATTTGAGAGTGGTGCTGTAATAGGATGGCACCATTGAAACAAGTCAGTTTGCCAAATTTCTTCCCTCCTGATTTTCCACGATCAGCTGTGAGTGTATTATTGAAAAGTGGAAGCGTTTAGGAATCACAGCAACTCAGACACGAAGTGTCAGACCACGTAAAGGTACAGAGCGGGTCGCTGAGTACTGAGGAGCACAGAGCATAAAAGACACCAACGCTCTGCTGATCAATAACTACAGAGCTCCAAACCTCCTCTGGCATCAACATCAGCACAGAAACTGCACCGGGAGCTTCATGGCAGGGTTTCCATGGCTGAGCAGCTGCACACAAGCCTTACATCACCAAGCACAATGCCAAGCGTCAGATGGAGTGGAGTAAAGCGCCGCCACTGGACTCTGGAGCAGTGGAACCGTATTCTGTGAAGTGACCGATCATCTTCTCTATCTGTCAGTCTGATGGACGAGTCTGGGCTTGGAGAACGTTACCTGCCTGACTGCACTGTGCCAGCTGTAGAGTTTGGTGGAGGAGGGATGATGATATGGGGCTGTTTTTCAGGGGTTGGTCTAGAACCCTCAGTTCCACTGAAGGGGAATCTTAATGACTCAGCACCAAGACATTTTGGACACTTCCAACTTTGTGGAACAGTTTGGGGAAGAACCTTTCCTGTTCCAGCATGACTGAGCCCCAGAGCACAAAGCAGCTCCATAAAGGCCTGACTGGGTGAGTTTGGAGTGGAAGAACCTGACTGACCCTCACAGAGCCCTGACCTCAACCCCATCCAACACCTTTGGGATGAACTAGAACAGAGACTGTGAGCCAGACCCTCTCGTCCAACATCAGTGTCTGACCTCACAAGTGCTCTTCTGGATGAATGGGCAGAAATTCCCACAGACGATATATTATAGCGAACACTGACAGACATGAACGGTACAACGTTTAATACTGAAATGTGAACCTAAAGCACTGCTCACTTTTCTTTGAAACAGTCAGTGATGGCATTTTAAATGTTCACAGTGCTGGTATGTATTATAGGTGCTTTATAATTCAGTACAGGCAGTGTGTGAAATACCCCCTGCTGTATCGGGACGGGGGCTCACATTGGCTGGCTCCTCCTGTGTTGACAGGGTGCTAACTCGCCCGCCACAGCGGCCTGGTTTGGTTTAACAACTGTTCTTCTGTAAAGTCTCTGTTCTAGTGTGGTTCTGCGCTCTTCCTCACAGTAACTGTCTCAGTGTGAGAAATGAGGAACAGTCACTCTTCACTCCAAACTCTTGGGAAACTGGGCGAGTTTTCAGATTTACAGATCTGCTGCAGCTCATTGTAAAGTTTCTCAGAGGAATCCAGGCAGAGTTACAGTTTCTAGGCTATGAAGGACCAACTGGGTGAACCAGTCTGCTACAGTGCCACCCTGAGGCGCCCTGAGGGAGAAGCTGATTGTGGGGGAAGCAGCTAAACAGTGACCTTTCCCTGAGTTTGGATTTGAGTGTCTAATTTACCCTAATGGACAGCATTACATCATAAGTTTATTTTCAAGGACCCCAGAATTTTGAGACATTCAGGGGGTCTAAGAGGTTAATTAAGGGGTCCTGGCCCCACAGGACCCCCTGTATTTCACACCATGTGTACAGGTTGTTATCAATTTGAAAGGCAACATAATAGACAATGACACGTTTCAGTACATTACAGCCTTACGAGGCATTCTAAGAGTTTATAAGCATGCTTACAAAGAGTAATAAGCACATTTATAACTAAGAACACAGGCTTCTTCGAAAGCAGTATCAAAAAACCTGTACTAGCATTCAAGCCACTAAACATAACTGTCGAGAACAAGTCAGCGATCAACAAGTCGCTCTCAAAATCACCCGGAGCGCCGGCCTGCCTGCACCTGTGTGAAATTGCTGTGACTCAAATGTCAGGATAAACTGAACAGCTCTTATAATTTCTTTGTCTTGAGGAAGCCGTTCAAAACACAAACTCAATTACAGCAACCGGAAGCTCAAATATTGTCTATAAAGAAAGAAGTTATACACAAAATGGACCATTTGTTCTTTCCTCTGAGGTCCAATTGGTACATTTGTATAGCTTTATTTATTAAAAAAAGTGATCATTTTTACATGACCTCTATCATTTAAACAGGCTGTTTTTTGTTACCCTCCCTTTAAGACTCATGTAAATGAGCTCTGTTCTGATTGGCTGTCCTGTATTGAGCCTCATTATAAACTCACTCCTGCTGGAGACAATACATCGCTGTGGTCGGAAGAAAACCTTTTATCTCCGAAAATGGTAATTGTACAGAAGGAAAAACATACCTCACTTTTAATGTAAGTCAATGGAATGAGAATTTTTTCCAAGTCATTTTGGGTCGTTTCTTTTGGTCCATTCATCATGAAATTTACACACAATATAAAGAGAAACAGGTATTTTCAAATTATGTCAAAAACTGAAAAACGTCAAAAATGGAGATACGAGGTTTTCTTCCAACAGTGATAAGCAGATGTATGTAAATATTCTGGTTTTTGTGATCTGTTTTTGCATCTGCCTTTCCACATGTGGACAGAGAAGTGAACAGTGAACTTCAGCCATGCTCACATATGCACTTTTTTAAAAAGCTGTTTCTGATGGTTGAAATCTTTTTCATAGGAACTACAAAACTGAAAATGGAAACTCAATGAAAACCTTACTGCTTTGACCTGGTATGTAATTAGAGCAGGGCGATATGACAAAAATAATAAAATAAAAAATAAATAAAATAATATAATAAAATTATATCACAACACTTCAGGAAATTTTTCAGTTAAACGTCACAGTATTTTTCTGCCATCTGAAACGTCAAACCAGGGGAAAAAAGAGCCAAGAAATGCAGTTATTGTACAGACTGAACAGTCGCTAGACGGTTGCTAAGGGGCTGCCAGATGGTTACCATGGTATTCTTGGTGGTTGTCAACAAGTTGAAAGCCATTTGTTATGGTTTCCCACTGGCTGCAAAGGTATCACAGTTGGTTGCTTTGGTATCCCTGATGGTTGCTAGGGAGATGCTATACTGTTTCTAAGGTATCCCACAGGGTTAACAGTGTGTTGCTAATGGTCTTAACTCATTGTAATAATTCCTATTTAAAAATTGTACGAAAACCATAATTTGGATCAAAAAGCTGTACATCAGCACACCATTCCCGCTCAAACTGAACGTTCCCGAGGTGGGCTGGTGTTGATATCCTGAAAACTGTGGGACAAGTTAGCGGCAAAAAATCCAGTTGCTAAGGCGTTGCTAAGCAGTTACTATGGTAATTTACATAGTTGCTAGGTAGTTGTTGTGGTATTCCAGGTGGCTGATATGGTGATACTAGGTGGCCGCAAAGGAGTACCAGGCCGTAGCAGAGTTGTTGCTAGGCAGTTCCTTATGTGTTGCTAGGCAGTTGCGAAGTTACACAGGGTGGTAGCTGAGGTGTTGCCATGTGGTCCCTAAAGTGTTGCTAGGTGGCCGCAAACGAGTACCAGGTGGTTGCCAAGTTGTTGCTGGGCATTTGCTTGTGTGTTGCCAGGCGACTGCTAAATTATACTAGGTGGTTGCTAATGCGTTGCTAGGTGGCTGCTATGGTATGATGGCTTGGTTGCTAAGGTGTAGCTAAGAGGCTGCTGTGGTGTACAGGGTGTTTACTGAGTGGTTGTTAGGGGATGCTAAGTGGTTGCAAGGTGTTGTTGAAAATAAACGAGAGTGTATGGGAGGAACGAGGGATGAAAAACAACAGAAGTGCTAGACAGTATGGCTGTGGATTAAGAGCTTGAAGACCTGCACATTGAAATGCGCAATCACTAAAAATACACACTCCATCACACTAAAGCCAGTTAGAGAGAACTGAGCTCTCGGGAAGTGTTAATGCTGATATCCATGACGTGCTCAGAAATGCTTACAGTGACATAGTAGATCATTACATCGTCATACTGTCCAGCCCTCTGTGTAATTCTAGTTCACCATAATAGATCCTAATTAAAAACAATCTCACAGAGCAAAGCAAACACAGTTTTGGTTTCCTAGGCGAATATCATGAGTCACTTTTATTAAAAGCATCATTACTACAGTTGGCAGCAATTTACAGTTCATCATACATGATGGTTTCAAAAAGAAAAAAAAGAGGAAAAAAGACACACAAAAAAAGAAGAAAAAAACATTTACAACGTTTATGTCTGTAAACTTCAAGGCTAGTTAGAATTGAGGTAATGCTGTTCAGCTTTGTGGCTAAAGTAACAAAAGTCCATTCAAATAGATAAAGGTACCTGATTTAATTCTTACACCAGTGCATTAACGTGGATATAATGAGACAATTCGACTGCAGTAATTAATGTCATGTCGTTTTCCTGTTTCCACACTTTCCGGTGTCTAAGTCAGAGTAAAATCGAACATTCAAAAGCTGCCTTCGTTATTGCTGTCTCCACAGGCCGAGATGTCCCCTCACCCGTATAGATTGTCAGTGTGAGAGACTTTTGAACAGTCAGAGTGTAGGCTATGATATGTGAGAACTTCATCCCTCTCCTTTCAGCAGAACAGTACAACGAAAACCAAAAAAAGTTCCTTTTGTTTTTTGTTTTTCAGCAGCAGAGAGAGTTGCTTAATGCCGTCAAAGTTGTACGCCACTGAATATTACGAGATGCTACTCATTGTTACATTAACAGTAGAGAGAAAAAATAAAAACAAAAACTCAACAGAAGAAGCAGCACAGCACTATCGGAACGAGTAATTCCTATAATATTTCAGGATGTTTCCACCTCTCCTAGAAAGAAAGCACCACCCAGTGCTCAAAGACATGATAAAAAGTGGGGAAAAACAAAACAAAAACAAAACAAAAAAAAAACAACAAAAAAACAAACCCTTTTGACATCCACAACTCTACTACTGCCTGTGTTTTCCTCTGCCTACACTAGCGTTTGCAGAGACAGTGTTGTCGTGTTCCCCTTTGTTACCTGTCAACAAAACTAAACCAAATTCATAAAAGGTTTTGGGATATTGAGTTGGCATTGTAAACAACTGGACTAACCACATTGTCGTATAGAGTTTTAAAACGGCGTCTCCACAGCCCACCAGGGAAATGGCAGAAGGCCAGTTTTATTTAATTCAGTCATTCGGTCGGTCAGTCACTTTTGTCCTCATCCTCCTCTCCAGGTTCTTCCTCATCATCCTCCTCCTCATCCTCTTCTCCACCTTCCATCGAGTCCAGTTCCTCGGCAGGTCCGGCCAGGTCCTCGTCCAGCATGGATGAGTCGGCGGTCTTGTTCTGGCTCTCCTCAGAGTCGCTGTCGTCGAGAACATGTTCGGCCGGGTCGGCGCTGGCTCTTAAGGCGTTCTGGTCCCGTTCTGGACGGGCCTCTTTGCTGGATTCTTTGTTTTCCTCTCCGGCGGCTCCCAAAGATCCAGACATGGCGTTCTGGAGGTCAGCCAGGGCGGCTGGAGAAAAGCCTGGCAAGCCCAAGCCCGCCAGACCTGGGGGCAGGAACATGGAGGGGTAGAACAGGCCTGGGGCCATGGTGGAGAGCAGGAAAGGGTTAAAGGCCAGCGGATTGGTGGACATACCGGCAGCAGCGGCGGCGGCTGCAGCAGCCCCTAAACCAGCCTCGCCGTTGGTCTCCGCTGACTCCGCCTCTGCAGGTTTCTCCGCCTCCTTTCCTACTTCCTTCCCCGCCTCCTCCTTATTCTTGTCCTCTCCTGCCTCCTCTTTGCTCTCCTCGCTCTTCTTGGGCTGGGTTTTCTCCTCGGACTCTGCCTGCTCCGGAGCAGCCGTGTTGTTTGCTGTAGCCGCAGTGGCCGCCGCCAGATTGCCCCCAAACAGCCCCCCGAGGCTGAACATGTTGGGCAGGCCGCCCATGCCGGGCAGCATTAAGGGTAGCATGGCCGCCGCGTGCTTGCCGTCCGCCGTACCACCGGCCAGCGCCGGGGGGAAGCCCATGAGACCAGCTGCCAGCTGGAGGCTCTGCAGGCTCTGTAGGCTCTGCAGGCTGGTCAGGTCCATGCCCCCGAACAGACCGTTCATCAGTAAGGGGTTCACGCCGGACGTGGAGGCTGCAGCGGCGGCAGCTGCCGCTGCCTGAGCCGCCGCAGCTTTTGCAATCTCGGACTTGGGTCGTCTGCCTCTGCGCCGCACGCCCTCTTCTCTGACCACCGGCCCCGTCAGAAGGCGGTCAAACATGGACTCGGGGAGGAAACCCTGAAGATCAGAACATGGCAGTTTAAAATGAGGGATAAAACTAATTATTTGATCCAAATAAACACATCTGACCATACAACGGCTCAATTATGATCCTTTAAGAAACAAGTCAAAACATCAAGAAATGTCGATGTTCAAATTTTGATATGATTCAAAATGTAAAAATTACATCAACACCAAGGTTTTTTGGGCGGTTTTAGCCTTAAATGACAGAATTTTATTCTGGACAAAAAAAGCAGGTTACTGAATTTTTAAAATTATAATTGATTCATGATCTAAAATGAATGCATTTGAATAGACAGACACTTTCAGAGCAACTCATTTCTACACCTTCAATGAAACAGGCAATAGGCCAAAGCTCAGACACATGGATAGAAAAACAAGGCAAACTCAGTCGTTATAAAAATATAGATGTAATTTTATAAGCAAACAGAACTGCAGCACTGGATGTTAACAACAACTCTGAGGAACTTACCGACTGTTTGACAATATCAGTCCAGTCTGGAGAGACGGAAAATTCAGGATTTTCAACCAGCCAACGTGGCAAATCCTTCATTGGAGGAGCCATAGCACCACCCATCTGTAGCCATGAGAGAGAAAACAAACATGTTAGATTAAGAACTTTTAAAGTGAAGAATATTAAAACACACAGACATGTATAAATAAAAACAAAATATTGCAGTAATACTTGCCTTTCTCCCGTTCCTCTTGTTGACCACAGGGACCCTCTCCTCTCCCGTCAACGTGTTGATGTCGATTTTGTTGGGGTTGCGACAGCGGTGCCTCTTCTGCTTCGGTTTGGCCAGCTGTGAGAGGAGGACTTCCTCATTCTTCTGCAAATAAACAAGACAACAAGGCTTTAGACAGAGATCTTGCAGTCGTCCAAAACCGTTTCTGGTCCTGGATTTCATAACCACTGAAAGGTACAACCCTGTGGCCAACCAGTTACATCAACAGTTTACCAGCGTTTGAAGGTCTGTGGCTTAAGATATAACAAAAAATTAACGAGAAATTCAATCCTTTTACTTACACTGATATGAATTAATGCTGTGCCTATTTTTTTTAACATAAAAAAAAACAGACCAAGGTTTAAGACAGCTTTTCAAAGATTTCATAATACTAAACTGTAAAAATAAACAGGAGCCGTTAAAAAGGTCATGCATCATTATGCACTGTTGTTTTTTTTAAAATAAAAGTTTAAATTGAGTTTAACTGAGTAATTGCGACACCCTCAATAACAACAACAACGCAGCGTTTTTCCCCTTCCTGTTTTTCCTGGACTGATTCTGAGAACATACATCACCAACCAAGCCTTGAAGCAGCTAAATCAGATCCGTTACTGATCCGACCCCCACACGTTTTTGTGGTTGAGCATATATCCACTGTGCTGTGAAGCAGATTAAGACCAGTAGAGACTGTGAAGGCTGTATGCAGTGTGAAGGTCACTCACTGGTATGTATCCAGGCATGTCCATAGTGTAAGTGGGGTGCTGTCTCAGCCACTCCCGTAGGTCCTTAGTGCTTGTCCCATCCTCCGCTTTAAGGCCGCTCTCCTCCAGGCTGGCACTGGAGGCTTTCGGTGCAGGAGCTGGAATGTGTCTCTGTGCTCGGCTTGGCACATGCGCCCCTTCTACAAAAGCTTTGGTCCCGTCTGAATCCTCCTGTAAAGGAAAAGAACATGTAAGGGATTATAAATCTGTCCCTTTCCTGCTTTCTCAGAGAGCAGAGGAACACATCTCAAAGTTGTTTAAAAGGGTGTGAAAATCTTTTAAGGTACAATTGCCCAAAAAGCTAAATTGGCCATATTTATCAAACATCTCAGAGAAAGAAAGCTAACCTGGAATCAGTTCATGCCTTTAGCACAGTTACAAGGACTGATTTTAGATCATCATTCCCACTTTGATAAGCATGATAAACACGGGCCAATAAATGCACACTAGCTCACATTTGTATAATTTTAACAGAATAGAACAGAACTTCAATAGAACTAAAATACAAAACAAAAATAAGTTGTTTCATTTATTTCAAAAATAGCAAAAAAGGCAAGCTATGATAGCTAAAACGTCTGGAAACCTTCCTAAATGAGCCAGCAAAAACGTTTTAAAAAAAAGCAGATGCCCGTACCACATTCAACTGTCCCCTCTTGCTGCCCATGAAGAGCAGCTCCAGGCCTTCCACGTTTTTCCTGCGGCCTCTCCTCCTTCGGGTGGGGAGTTCAGGCTCCAGCAGGGAGCCGTTGGCCCTGGACGCTCCACCCGCCTGCAGCAGCTCCATCTGGGCCTTCAGGGCTGCTGAAGAGGCCATGGCTCCGGGGAACACGGCGGAAGATGAAGAGGAAGAGGCTGAAGGGGTCAGGTTGTGCAGAGCCTTGGTCAGGTCCATGGCTTGAGCTTGACCTTCAGCAGCGTGCGACTCCCTCAGCTGAGCTACCATCTCCATCAGGTTACGGCGCTTGGCAGCCCGTTCCGCCTCAATCTCCACCTTCCTCCGCCGACGTCTGCGCTGCCGCGGGACGGACAGACTCAGAGCCTCATCCTGTGCGGGAAACAAGCAGACGGGTCAGCGTGGAGGCGAAGAACAAAATTTGTCAGTGTTCCCATTACAAACGTGAGCAGGCACACGGAAGGATGATAGAATGCCTTTTAGAGTAAGTAAACTAATCTTTTTGCAATAAGCAACTTGCTGCCATAAAAAACAGCACAGCTCTTCCATTAATCAATTCATTACAGAAAGTAATGCAGATGGATTGTATCAAGGCTCCAGACTAATTTCAAAACTGCCCCTGAACAGTCTCGAAACATTGTCAGCCGCCCCAACCGGCTTTGTTTACTTTACCTTTCTTACTTGAATGTTTGTACTGTCATATTACAGATTCGGTGCATTACAACTGGCATCAAAGCTAGTAAACAGTAATTCAAGAATTAATTAACAAAAAAGAACATACAAAACTGTTAGCTTGACGCTAATATAACAGGAATTCCCACTGACAGGCTAATGAACTTTGAAATATTTAGGGTGGGTATAAACAACTCATTCAAAAATTTTTGTGTTAAATTACCACGAATTGTCCTGAAGCCTCACAAAACTGTTTGAACATCGCATCGTGTGCCGTTTTTATCATCCCCAGGACGGCACTAGCCTGCAGCCTTGTGCATGAAGGAATTTTACATTGTTATACTGTATAGTTTTGCTTGGGGATGCACTTTTACAGCAACCAATGATTAACAGCTAGCCTGGATTAGAAATGGGCAGGGGCAATTTCTGCCCTCAGTGACCGATATTTCACACACAAACGGGCAACTTTGCGAGCTGTTTAACATTTTAACTTAACACAACTAGCAATTTAATCTCAAACAGCAGACAACATATAAACTATGCAAAGATGCACTGTAAAGTGTTGGCTGTTTCACTAACGTGATTCTCATTCATTTGAACTGACATCTTACATTAAACTTGTTCTGGGGCCTGTACTTGAATTCCAAGAGCCAAAAATCTTGATTGCTGAACTTCTGCCTAATCAGACCTTGTAATTTCTGACATGAAATGCTCAGCCTCACCCTGCGTGAACTATCAGGCTCTCAATTTACGTTGTCACCAAAATGGCATCAGAGGTGAGAAAACTAGTGGAACAGAGACAGACAGTGCTGAGTCCGAGAGAGCAACTGATCTGCTGGGGGCAGGGTAGGTGACTTGCCTTGTTGACCTGCGGTGACATGGTGAGGTCCTCACTGCCACTATAGCTGGTCTGGCTCACCATGGAGAGATCGCCTAGGCCCCTCCTTGGCAGGGGGCTGTCCGTTGCCATGGCGCTGTAGCCAGGCAACAGGCCTGGGAAGTCAAAGAACTGCCTCCTGTTGGAAGGCCACTTGCCCTTGATGACCGCCTCACAGATGTTGTCCATACGATTGATCATTACCCTGTCCTGCAATACAAACACAGCAGAGATGCACACAAAATGTGAGCGTGTGCAGGTGCATTTGTAATGAACTACTGAGTACACAAAGGAAAACTGAGCACATCTGCACATCTTCTGCCAGGTCCTCCACCTTACAACAGTTTGATCTGGCAAACTTCTCCCCTCCCACATATAAAAATCTCATAATTTTACAAAAGTAAACTAAGTTTACTAAGCACATGGATCAAACAATAATGGTTTTAACAGATCAAAGCTGACTTAATACCATATTTTATTAGTTTTATGAGTGTGCATGTAGGATGCTACAAGTGATGTCCATTACATTATAGTTGTAAAACTGATCTGCAATCTCAAGTCTTTAGTCCCATACTAACCTTTGGCCAGAAGGAGAACATGGCTCTTTCACCAAACATCTGAGAAGCAGATGCTTCGACGTCGTCCACTCCGAAGTAGTCACGTGTCTCGTCCCGTGCTGTGCTCAAGGAGGCATTACTCTCCTCGTCAAAGTTTTTCCTCTCAGAGGACCCCCCGGCTACAAAAGAAAAAAATTTGATTATTCCTTTAAAAAGTGCTGGTAATCGAAATTTTTATTGGATTTCATTTTTTCCTTGAGGTCCACTTATATTTGTGTGGCTTTATGCATCAAAAAACAGTAATACATCACTTTAACCTGACAATTTCCCAACCTCTCCTTACCCCTTAGAATTAGCATGTGTTTCCCTGCCTTCAAGACTAATAAAATCAACCTCTGTTCTGATTGGCTGCCCTTTATTGTGCTTCATTCAAAAAGCAGCCCAGGCTGAAACTCTATATAACATCAGTGTTTATGGGCAGAGCTAAATAGTTTGTATGCTAAACTGGCAGACTGATCAATCGATCTATCTATCTATCGATCTACAAGGTGTTTCCTGCCTTCTGTCCAATGAGCGCTAGGGCAGGCTCCAGTAACCCACCCCCCCCACCCCAAGAGCATTTATCCATAGATTAGTGAGTTATATGGTAATAAGCTGTTTTTTTGTGACAACAATTCATTTAAAATTCATTGGGCTGTTTGTATGGGGGAATCACACGTGATTAATAAAAATAATGGCATTTGTTCGCAGCTTCATTGCCACATATGGACTCCGAATAGGTTTTCCATGAGGGGCTCTTTATCAACACTGCTGCAGCATTTATTCAGTATCTTAGTCATCATTTTCATTATTAACAAACTGCATGAAAAAAAATTATAATCTTACTTTCTACTTTTTGTTTTAAATCTGTCACATATCGCCAGGTTTACCTTCGGCCTGAGAAGACTTTTCTGATTTGTCATCCTCGTCCATTTTCTCCTCTTCCTCTTCTTCTAAGGTTTTGTCAGTGCTGGTTTTGCTGTCGCCAGGAGCTCCAGATGACTGCTCCTGCTCTTCAAGAGCTGGGACAGGGAGTGTGTCTGTAACCTCAGGCTCAGTGGCCTTCTCCACTTTAGCTGTTTCAGGAGCGCTGTGGCTTTCTTCAGTGTTCATGTCTTCTTTTTCTTTGTCCTCTCCCTGTTCCTCTGCCTCCATCTTCTCCTCTTTGGATTCCTCCTGCTTCAGCTCATCCTTCACCTCCTCTACAGGCTTCAATTCCTCTTCAGGCTTCTGCTCAGGCTTTTCCAAGTTCTCCTCCTTAACTTCCTCTTTAACCTCCACTCCGGTTTCCGCTTTTACCTCCATGCTGTCTCCTTGCTCCTCCTTCAGCTCATCCTCTTTAACCAGAGCCAGTGGAGTTAGAGGGTTTGAGGCAGGTGCAGGTTCGGCTCCTTTGCCCTGGGTGAACTTGCGGTGGGCCTCCAGAAAGCCCAGCTCAGGGTCGTTGAGGATGTGGTAGTCCGTGCGACTGACTCCATGTTTTGCGGCTCCGCGGAGAAGGTCGCGGTCATGCCGGCCAGGTTCCCACCAAGCAGGGAGATCCTGGCTTGGCTGGCACAGACGCAAACGCTCCTCCAGCTGTGGATGTGGCAGGACCTGCTCTCTGATACGTCGGAGCAACTCGATACGGTACAGAGTCCGTGATGCTCTTTCCTCCGTGATGGGATCGATTATCAGGGTGGGGTCTGCTAGATCTGCTAAAAAGAGAGAGAGAGAGAGAGAGAGAGAGAGAGAGAGAGAGAGAGAGAGAGAGAGAGAGAGAGAGAGAGAGAGAGAGAGAGAAGGGATTTAGAGAGAGACAGGAGAAAATGAGAGGAAAAAAAGGAAAGAGAAGTGTAACAAAGTACTGCGAATGGGCAGGAAAAAAAAAAAACTGACACTGAAAGCTTATAATAAATCCTAAATCTAATTAATCTGCAGAATCTAAAATCAAAACCTCACTAAGGGAGCACAAAAAATAAAAACTAGTCAAACTCAGATATTCAATGAAAAATAAACAAGGCCAAGTGTCCTATAAAAAGATGCAAGTTCTTGGGGGGTGGGGTTATACCTTGGTCTCCTTTGACTTGCATACGGCACACGCGCTTGCACATGGCCACGAAGGCGTAATAGTACTTTTCCAGACTCTCGTCCGTCTTCTTGTCTAGACGAGCGAAAGCACGGAACTGCATCCAGTCGAAGCACTGGCGGTGGACGTCGTAAACCACTCCGAATGTAGACACCACGCGGTAGAAATCAGCCTCCTCCCGCCTGGTCCATCTGGAGAGCAGACAGTAGGAGAGAAGTTATGAAAGTGGTCATAAGTGAAATATGAGGGGAACTCACCACAGTCTAAAAGACAAACCTCAGAACTTCAGAGGAAAACAAGAGTCCAGCTTAATTTAAAAGGAATGGTTCAACTTCAACAAAGCATGAAATTACTGGCTCTTTGAATTATGGTCAACAGAAGCTTGCTTTACAAAAAAAACAAAACACAAAAAAGAAATGTACAGTTTCTAAAAAAGGTGTCTTGTTTTATGTAGACAAACAAAGCAAACATTGATGCATAGATTATATCGTGAATTAAAAAAATAAATAAAAACAAAACAAAAAAAAGTTTATTGGTATCTGCATTTTCTAGAGCAACATGTTATCAGCTGTTATTGGCCAAAAAAAAACCCTACACTGATGCCTTACCTCTGCCGTCTCTCTTTAAAGTAGGCGGCACCGTCACCCAACAGGGCGGCGCTCTCGGGCAGGAACGGAGAGGCCTTCATGAAAGACCCACTTTCTGCCAGGAACGCAGTAGCCGCCACATCCTGACCGTAAGCCCCTGCTTCGGTTACCATGGAGAGTATGTCATCACGGTGACGGCGGCGTCTCCGGCCATCAGGTTTGGTCAAAGCTTCCTGCCTCAGCTGCTCCCTCTTGTGGCTGCGCTGGTAGGCAGTGATAAGGCGGCGCAGGCGGGCAGTCAGCGCAGAGGCTGGAGGCCAGTACAAGTTCCCCGCCTTACCGTTTTCACTCGACTTGGGGGACGGCTGGGACGACACAACAAAGACGTCAGTGACGGCATTATATTAAGTGCTGCGTATCTAAGATTTCAATTTTTTTGGAAGTACATAAAGGACTGACCCTACATCAGCATGTTTAGTCTGACATTTTGGGATTTGTCTCAACATACTTAGTTTTCAACAGACAGTTTATGCAAGTAATGCTGAAGCGTGAAAATACCTTCGCCACTCTCGATATCCATAGTCTCCTCTTTGTCATCAAGAGGAGAGTTTGTAAAGTCCTGGAAACAATAAGAACAGAGTCATCAAACCAATCCTCAAATATACACTTAGACACTCTGTATAAAAGACCAGTTTACAAGTAAACTTACATCCAGCTCATCTTTGAAGGGCATCCGGAGTGGTTTGTACTCAGGGTCCTCATCCTCACTGTAAAAGAAAGTGTCTTAAAACAATTTGCCAATACCGATTTCCCACATGACCAACTAATAATGAATGCCTGAATAAAACAAACCAATACTGTCCCTTACTAGCAACATTATCAATGAGATCTAACATTACGTTTAGTTTTATCTAGGTCATGCACTATGTATCAGTCTCAAAGCGTTATCGGAGCCTGTGACTCGGACAACAAACTCGGATGCATTACTCTCAAGCATATTTCATGTTAAATGTTCTAGATCACATTCAGAAGACCAGATTCAATAAATTTCAACGTTGTTTTACAACTTTAGCATGGAACTCAGAACAAAGGGAAGGGCAGAAGAGTTAGAGAGAGGGAGACAGAACGAGAGAGAGGGCAGAAAGAAAGAGTGAAGAGGGAGAGGAGTCCCTCTTGCTGAGGCTGTGATTTCGGGCCAAAATTACCCCTCGCCACCATCTGCCACCATGTCCGCTCCCCTCTGCTCGGCTGCGATGGCTTTGGCATCGGGCATGCCCACCCTCTCCAGGAAACACAGGGTGGGGTCTGCACGCATGGAGTTATACTTCTCATAGCCTGGTGAAGAGAAAGAGAGAGAGAGTCTCAATATCACTCCACCCAAATCACTGGCTGGGCTGCAGGGTTCCAGGTTGAGGAAATACTATTTGGAAAACTGGGGAAAAATATATATGGGAAAAAGAAGAAGACACAACAAAAAAAAACAAACAAAAAAACCCATTTTGAACAGACACCGAAACAAGCTACCAATAAATTATGATAAAGTGCAATGACCAAGTAAAACGCCCTGCAAAAACTTGTCAAACATGAAGTCTTCAGTCTGAATGACTCAGTACTACAACTCAAAGGCCCTGAATCTAATAATTAAACCAGAAAATTGTAAAAACTAAACAAGACACTTGCATCAGAGGAGGAAAAAGATAAAGCTAACAAATGAAAAATGGTAAATCAAGTAAAATGTTGTCTGAAGTACAAAGCCCTCAGGCTGACTGACATTTAACCAAGTGCTAAACTCAAAAACAAGCAACAGTCTGAAAAAGCTTATCAATAAAAAAATAGCATAAAGCAAAGGGTCCAGAAAACTTCCCAGAAGTATGAAGCCCTTTGAATGAAGTGCAAAAATTCACTTCTAAAGCATAAAACCAAAACAACAGAATCCCAATCAGAATATCACTAAAGGAGACACTCAATCAGAAAGGGGTCAAAACTAAACCAAACCAAAAAATCACAAACCAAAGTAAAGCATCCTGGAAAAACTGAAGCAAGTTCTCTGAATGAAGTGCTACAATTCACACTTCTAAAAATAAATGCTAAACCCAGCTACAGGATTTAAATCATAACCTCACTAAGGAGGGGAAAACATTCACGAGAAAAACCAAAAAGAGTGCAGTTGTGGAGGAAAACGCCCGTTGAAACTGTCCAAGCAGAACAGATTTGAGGCTGCGGATCCTGGCCGTGCACGGCAGGGGAGATGATTGGCAGGCTGGACCCACTTCAGCTGAGAGCTGCTGATCCCCCCCCCCCCTTCTCTTCTCCACCTCCCCTCCCCTCCCCTGCCAGAACATCACATTTCAATTAGGATTTATGCGGTGACACATTGTTCCTAACTGCCGGCACGGCCCGAGCCAAACTGTAATCATGAGGGGGTTTTATAGGCTATCATTCTTCCCTCTGCAGCGCAGGACCCGCCACCTCTCTTCTGCTGCTTCCTCCCGAGACCTCCCCGCTGAATTGGGATTATGATTAAGAACAGGCTGCCTGTGTTGTACACACGCTTGCATGTGTGTGTGTGTGAGTGTGGGTGTGTGTAGGGCAGAGTTAACGAGGCTGCTCAGGGCTCTTGGGAGCGAGAGAGTGCGAACAGGAGCGAGTGAGAGAGAGAGGTCTCTGCATGGACATTCAGAGGAAGCTCACTCGGAAGCCTCTTGTCTTAGATTAATGGCAGCGACGAGAGCCAGTGCCTGTTATTGAATAAGAAAAAGTGCCTATTACTACATTTAATATCATTACAAGTGAGCTGCTGACAATTCCAGCCTCGACTCGCTCTCTCTCTCTCTCCGTCTCTCTCTCTCTTTAGAACGTTTACTGCCCCAAAACAAAAAGATGCATTAAAACAGAAAAACAGGAACACACAGAATGTGAAGGGCCCACATGCAATATTTCCCTTGTATTTTACTTCTGTCCCCGAGGTCAACATATGACGTAAGCTTGTGCGCCAAACACAAGCAGTTCTTTTCCAATCTCTATTAATCTCTTAGAATTAAACCAGCTGTTTGACACTTCCCCTTTAAGACTGACATGTAATGAGCTCTATTCTGATTGCTTTTTAAATACAAGGCAGGCTTGAAAGACTTATGAAGCACTTTTGTAAGTTGCTCTAGATAAGAGTGTCTGCTAAACGCCGTAAATGTAAACGTAAAGGAAACACTCCTAATAACGTTAGCATGAATGGATGGGCTAAACTGGCAGGTTAAAGGCAGATATGTAACTGTTGATTTTGCTAACCTGAAATTCAAAACAGACCATTTTGGCAGCTTAGCTTCCATATATGGGCCGCATGGACTGTGGAGGAAACGGTACATTGAAACCTTACATTTACAAACTACATCAAGCTAATTTTTAGGAAATATGAGAAAATCCAGCTTTCCATGATACAGGTCCTTTAAAAGCCCACATCCCAAATTTCTTGCATTTCCTTTTTCCCTTGAGGTCCACTTAACGTGTGGTTTTGTGTCCCAACAAGGCCATAATTCATTTTACCTGACTGTATTCCAACCTCTCTTTATCCTTTAGGATTAAACAGGCTGTCTGTCGTCACTGTTGCTTTAAGACTGATGTGTCGATGAGCTCTGTTGGGATTGGCTGTCCTGTACTTAACATTCAAAAAGCACTCAGAGCTGAAACACTCCTTATAACTTCAGTGTGAATGAGCAGGGCTAAACTGTGGTAGGTTGAGTGTTGGTGACATCACCAAATTCAAAACAAGCTATTTAACAAGTTCTCTTGGAGCTTTTCTTATCCTTGTCGGTCAAGGTTAACAAACTGTTGATGGATTAAAAAGTGGGGTAACTCAGTTTCAACACAGACACTCATCTAGGCTAGGAAGCAGCCGTGTGGGAAACAGTGAATCAGTTTTCTAACGATATTACAGTGGGTCAGCGCAGGCAATTAGAGCCCCCTCAACTGCCTGACGCTGAACCCCAGAGAGCTTTGGGATCTGAGGGGGCGGAGCTTACCATGCTTGAAGACCCCAATGAGGAGAGACTTGTCGGCCTCCAGGTCCCACCAATCGGCAGGGACTTCAGCGTTCAAGGGCTGTGGGATCCAAACATCCAATTCGCTGCAGCCAAAGAAAGAAAGAGAGGAAAAAAAAAGAAAAGTAAACAAACACAGGAAGTGTGATTAAGCTGGAGATGGCTGTGGCCGCGGCCGTGAGTAATCTGATGAGCGCGGCAGTAATGTCTATCCACAGACATCTGGAAGGAAACGTGGCCATTAACACGCCGCATCTCATTTAGAGGCCATTTCTCAGCCTGGCTGTCCAGGGCCAACCTGATTATGGCCAAAGATCTGAGCCACTAGCTTCTCTCTCACTACCAACACACGCACAGTGGCTCAATTAGAACTTCAGTCAAGTCCTCGAGAGCATCAATATGGCAAGCACGTCTGCACATTATCCATGCATGCACATCTGGGTGGAGGGGGGGAGAGGAGGGGTGAGTGGGGGAGGGAGGAGAGAGAGCGGGAGGAGAGAGGGACAGGCAGAGGGGGGGATGGGAGAGGAGGAGAAGGTGATGGAAGGAGAGAAGAGATAACAGCAGGCAGGCTTTGGAGTGAGGGACGAAGAGAGATGCCAACCTTGAATCCGTTCCCTCCAGGATCCGGTCTGCCAGGTCTCCAATGACTTCCTGTCGCAGATAGTACAGCATGCGGACCCGCAGCAACACTCTGTGAGAGATAGTGGGAGAAAGATGATGAATGAAGGGAGAGAGAGAGAGAGAGAGAGAGAGAGAGAGAGAGAGAGAGAGAGAGAGAGAGAGAGAGAGAGAGAGAGAGACATTGGGTTAACTTAGCAGCAGGCAAAATGATAGATGGGGAAGGGAGAGGAAGAGAGAAAGAAGAGAAAAGAGGGAGAGAGAAAGACAAAAATGAAGACACCAAGGAAAGGAGGATGAGGAAGAGAAGGGGAGAGACAGAAAAAAGAAAAGAAAGGGACAGCGACAAAGAGAGAAAAAAGAGGAGGGTGAGAAAAAAGATAAGAAGAAAAGTGAAAGAAAGAAAAGGAAGAAGAGTGAGGAAGGAGTGAGTGAGGAAAAAAAGCAGAGGAAAGAAAGACAAGAAGAGAGAGAAACAGATGAGAGGCAGGAAGAAAAAAAGATACATGAAGGGATGGAGGGAGACAGAAAGAGAGACAGAAAAAAGACAGAGATGGAAAGACACAAGAGGAGAGAGGGATGAGGATGTAGACAGAGAGAGAGAGAAAGAAAGATAGAGAGACAGACAGCGAGGGAGCGAGACACAGACACAGAGAGAGAGAGAGAGAGAGAGAGAGAGAGAGAGAGAGAGAGAGAGAGAGAGAGAGAGAGAGAGAGAAGGCAGAAAACAAAAGCCTGAGTAAGTTTGGCCGCTGTGCTCAATGCCAGCAGCAGCGGTGGAGGCAGAGGCAGAGGCAGCAGCCGCTCGTTGGCGTGTGCCACGGCTCATCCATCATCCTGCCAGGCCTGATTAGCCACGCTGCGCGCCAGCCTCCGCGCCTGACAGATGGCAGCACATAATCACCTCTGTGTGTGCCGCCTTTCACCCGCTTCCAACAGGTCTGCCTGGCTGGCACCTGGCCTGGCACCATGCCGCTCCTGCACGGGGGGAGAAACGCCCGCCAGCCCGCAAACCCACCGCCTTCCCTCTCTCTCTCTCTGTCTCCCCATTATACCCTCACTCCATCACGCTCCCCTTCCTTTCTCCTCCCTCACCCCTACCTATCTAACATCTCTCGCTCCATCATACCCTCCTTCCACACTGCCATATCTCTCTCCCCACCCTGCATCTCTCCTCTCTTTTACCACCCCCCACAACGCTTCATCGCTTTACTCCCCCCGCGTTCTTCTGCCCCTTCCTCTCTGTCTCTCCACATCTCTCTCTCTCTCCCCTTCATTTCCTGTGTAAACGCTGCTGAAGTTGTGAGGTGTGAACGGGACGAGGGAGAAGTTTGCGGCGCAGCAGGCAGATGGCCAGCGGTCTGAGCGCCTTGAATTTATCGACTTGGAACGCTGCTTCCTCAGCTGCTGCTCCGCTCTCTTTCTTTGGGTGCATACGAGAGAGAGAGAGAGAGCAAGCGAGCGAGCGAAAGAGCACGAGAGAGAGAGCCAGCAGTGCGCACCCCCCTCGCCCTCCCTCTGCCTAGGCGAGACCCAACAATGCAGGCCTGGCAGCAGAAATTATTTATCAAATGAAACCAGAGAGGCCTCACAAAACAAAAGAGGGCAGACGACAGCATGCGGCGAGTGACGGACAAGCAGGGCGAAAGACAAAATAACCCATCCTGGCGCGATGAGAAAAAGGATGAATTATTGAAGAGATCTTAAAATCTTTAATTTCAGCAAAGGGGGAAGATGGGGGGCAAAGACTATATATATATATATATATATATATATATATATATATATATATATATATATATATATATATATAATTAAAAAAAAGAAAACAACAAAACCACACCACCTATCGTCTCAGTTTTACCCTCATTATTCCAAAAACTTTGGCACGCATGGTTCGCAGAATCAGGAAGCTCATCACTGCCAAGTTTAGTCTTTTCTACTACTAGAACTATTTCTATTAAACCACACACACTTCAGTTCCAAAACAGTGACCATCTCAAATAAGGGTGTAATGTTTTCAGCACAGTATCAAAAACGAACACAACCATTCATCCGGGTGCCCTCTATTAGCTTAAAGTGGGTAGGGTTTATGCTATATCCAAACTGAAAAAGCTGCTATTTTATACTGGTCAATTATAAACTCTAGTAGTATATTAGAGTACAATCAAGACAAAACATAAAAAAATTAAATGAATCTCCACCTAAGAATCAGAAATCAAACTGAATATACTACACCCTTATGCTACAACCAGTTTTAATTGGTTGATTGTAACGTCCTCCATCACTTCCATCAAAAGTCTTGTCTACCCTTTATGGTGACTTAGACAGTCCACTTCAAATAAGCCCCAGTTGCAAGTCGAGCAAGTTTGCTTGTTAAGCACTCGGCAGTCCCAACAAATGAACACTAATAGACAAAAACATAAATGAGTGTTTTTTGATGGTAAGTCAGGCTTAGGGTGCCTACACAGACAATAGCAAATGCATCTTAATCAATGTATTTTGGTAAGACAGTTGCGTTTGCTCTGCCAGACTAGAGCATCTAAAAAAGTTTAAACCACTTCAACACTTCCTGCAAGGGATTTTGACATGGGAAATGAACACCAATGAAAGCGTGCATGGACAGGCAAAGATAGACTTCTGATTTGCTTGCTCGAATTTGAACTGCACAAACCCCATCCCTACTCCGGCATGCGCCTCCTAGACGGCCAAGATCTGCATGCTCCGGTCTTGTGCTGTCTACTGTGTAATCATCCTTACTCTGACTAGACCTGTAAGGTTGCTGATTTCTAAAACAAGACTACACAGAAGTTTTACCAGGGCTGCATGATATAGAGACAATTTCAAAGACAACATATTGCCCTATATCTATACATACAGCACTAAAATACAACAGTAACATACTGCTTCTGACCCAGCTTGTTGGGCTTTAAATAAATCACGGTTGCACCCCCAGATTGCTCAGGACGCTAACAGAGAACAGTTGTGTCTTATTTTAATATTTTAACCTTCTATACTGCAAATCCAGTTGTTGCAATAACAAGTAATACCGCATAGCCTTAGCTCTTACTTGTTGCAGTGATGTTTCAGATGCCTCTTGTAACTGTCCTCCTGGAGCAATACGTCAGGGTTGCAGTCGGCCAGCCAGTCAGCCTGGGGCTTGTGGGGCTGTGCCACCGGCAGCTTGCCCTTTTTACCTTTACGGCCTCTGGGCACGGGAGCAGACAGACCTACACAAATACAGAAAATAAATGTTAGTAATACTCCAGCATTTCAACCTAATCTGCACCTTCAGCATCCATATCATATGCTCAACTACCATCGACAATTTTCCTGTACAGAAAAACAGCTGACTCAAAACACTCATAATAGAAGTGAATAGACAATGTGCAATAGCTTCTATTAAGGGGTCTAATGTTATCCAAGCTGTTCTTGTCCAATTTCTTTATTAAAAAATGCAGGACTACTCCTTTAAGGCTAAGCTAAAGCATATCTAAACATAGCCTTCTGATTATGCCATGGTAATTCCATCGTACCAGAGTGGTTGGTGAGCGTGCGGCTCTGGCCATCCTCCGTGGGAGCGATGAGGTCCCAGATGAAGCTCTTGATGTTCTCGTCCCCGCGGTAATGCAGCAGGCAGTAGGCCAGCAGTGAGCGGCAGATGATCTCCACGTCCCGCTCTCGCAGAGGACGCTTGAAGCGCCCATGGGACAGGATGTCCCTCCAGCGACCCCAGCTAGACAGAGGGGAGAGCACAGAGAGTCAAGTCACAGCTTCAAAACAAAACAAGAACCAATGCTACAGTTTCAAGCTCTGCATGTTCTGTTCAGACATTTCTAAAATTCTGTGGCATTCATAGGTTGCGGATGCGAGACTACTTTTTTTGGTCAAGAAGTTGTGGTGCAGTCAAGCTAATTTTAGGATGAATGTTGGGGGGGGGGAGTAATGGTGTTAAGTAAAACCTATAAATAATGAGTCATCAGAACAAACACAAAAAAAATCCATGTCAAACTGAGTTCATGCATCTTTTGAACATTTTTGCGCACAAACTTTACATAAGATTATGTGTTTTCATGCTGGCCTCGAAGACGCTGTTGCCAACAACTGTGACCGAAATTCAAGGTAATAAAAGTATGGAGGCAGAGTAAATTAAGGGAAAAACAAATCTGTTCAAAAGATGGGAAACGGGGTACGAGAAACCTGAATATAAAATTTAAACGTGACCATAGCCTGATCTTTCAAAAACGCTGCTTGAACCATACAAGAGTAGTCAGATTTCATAGTTTTCAGACAAATATTTCAAGCTCTACTCCAGCCTGAGGGCCACTCAAAGTGGAATATTTGAATTGCTGTAGCTCTACTGTTCGTTACAGACTGAAGGAGGCAGGGAAAAAGTACAGGCTCTAGCTTCCTGGCACAGTCAATGACCATGGGGAGACCCAATGCCCTTGTTATTTGATGGAAGCACTCAGGCTCTCTGAGGAGAATGGAGCTCTGCCCTGCGGGACTTTCTGGAGAGACAGTGAGAGCATGAGCGAGAGAGCGCGAAAGTGTCTGTGAGAGATGGACAGCAGAGAGAGCATCAGAGAGAGAGAAGAGAAAGAGGGGGGAGGTCTGCTCTGAATCCACAGCCCTACACTGCTTTTCATAAAAACATCAGATGAGACAAAGCCCTCAGATTTGATGGATCTAATTTGCTGTGTAGCCCAGGGGTCTAGACGTGTCTGACTGAAAAAGGGAGGGGGAAAAAGAGGAGGGAGGGAATTTTAAAAATAATAATACTGGTCAGACATGGTGCGTGCAGCCAGCCATGATTAGTGCCGGGAGCACTGAGGCCTGGCGCTTAATTAACTGTGCGCGTTAGATAGCGCTGCAGCTCCCGCCGCCCGGGGACAGGCAAGCGTGACAAACTCGGCCACAGCACTGGTGGGCTGCAAGCTACCAGATATCCGCATCCCAAACGGAAAACTAAACGGGACAAGGGGGTATTTGGGTGGCGATGAAACGATGCAGGAAGCAGAATATCCTGTCTCGTGGCATTGGGATGGACTTCCTGCAGTGGTGAGTTTCCATGGAGCGCGCTGGCTCACAGCTCCATCGAGGGATCTGAGGGACGTGGCCTGGAAAAGGCTGAGTGGAGGTGGGGCTTGGGGGTTGATGTGGAACTGGGACAGGAAGAGTGCATGTTTGTGAAGATAAAGCTGGTGTGGCATTTTCACAGTCTGAGGGCGCAGGGCAGCATCTTCCACACGTTTAAGTAGCTGAATAAATGAAAATGTCAAAGAAATCCTGCTCTGAAAACACCACAAGCTGCACTCACCCATAGACCAGCAGGTTCTTCTCCACTCTGAAACACTCGCTTCGGGGATACCCCTGGGTTTTGTCCTGGGGCCTCCGTGGTTTCTGAACAGGCTTGTCCTCAGAGTCGCTCTCCAGCTCCGAGTACTCCATCATCTCGTCCTCCTTCATAGAGCTGTAGTGACGTGTCTGCTTCCTGACCCGAGGGGTGTCAATCACCAGGGTATTCTGATGAGATACAATCTGCTGTTAGAACACCCCCAGAACACTTTAAAAAAATAAATAGATTAAAAGTGGACCCGTGCCGTTATTGTCACTAATCCTTCAAATAGCCTGCAGTCAACCACATACAGACAAGCGCTGGACAGATCTGTCTGCTCACAGTATCCACTTATACTGTTTAGATTAAGAGCTTCGCTCAGGGGCACAGGCAGAAAACAATATTGTGATAAAGCACTTTTGGTTCGACGTAAAGCGATGTTTCCCTTCAGCAGCCGTAAGCTGCTTAGAGCCTCAAATTCTCCCGAGTGGAGAGAACAGCGGTAATTACAGAAAACGCTTCCCATGGCCAAGTTTAAACAATTTCGCCTTTGCCCAATTACGACTACATTCCACGCACTGTTAGCCTGGGGAAATAAGCCTCATTAATTATGCTCAGATAGCATATTTATGAGGAGTGACACCATCGAGTGCTGGGGAATCTACCCAGACCTGGATTCTCCCCGCCTTTAATTATCAATCTTCGGCTGCAGCTATGAATGCGATACCCATCAGAAAGCTGCTAATGCGTGACCCCGGAATTAATGAAACAATGATTAACAGTCAGCTATAAATCCCTCACACATCGCTACACAAGTGAAAGTGCCAGAGATTAGCGCGTAGATTTAACTACATTTCCCACGAGGCGTTTCTTCACACAAGCATGCGTCCTCGTTCCATCTTTAAACCCTGCATGATGAGTGGCTTACCCTGCCATTGATGACGGCCAGGTCCAGCTCTGCTTTCTTTGCCCATTTCTGCCAGAAATCTGGGTCCTCCAGAGAAATATCTGTCCTGTTCCCAGAAGACACAAAACTCGCCTGGAGAGGGGAAGAAAATAAATTTACATGAACATTTTACTCCTTAATTAGTTTTTTTATAGGGCAACACAAAACAAGTCAAGCCAGCCCAAATAAGGGTAAATGTATTAATCTACACATCTCCGCTAACAAACATTGCCATTACCTTAGCAAAAGTAGAGCCTTTCCCCTCGGACTCAATAGTAATTGTCTGTGTGCGTCTCTGTAAGATCTGGTCAATGTCCTCTTCACAGAATTTAGAGCCCTCGTCCTCTTCATCCATAAGTGCACCATATGCCCCTTTGCGCAGGAGGTCCTCAATCTCCTTCTTTGAGAGTTGCTGAACCTAAGACAGCACACATTAAAAGTACAGTTAGTACTTACAGATTTCAATAAATATGTTCTTTTTTAGGCTTATTTTATAGATCGGCAAAGGTTTTTGCTATATAGTGAAAAGGATGGAAAAAAAGATGCAGTCTAGAGGCATTAGAGGCCCATCCACCAGCTGCCAGCATGTGGAAAGTATGTTTGATTAATGAACCATCTGGAATAGAGTTTTGAGCGCAGCTCCATAAAAATGGAGGTGCTGTGAGCAGTTCGTACCCCATTGGCAGCATTCTCTCTTCCGCTCATGGACTGAAGCACAGCTTTGTCCAGCCCCAGCTTCAAACTGGCCTTGTCGAACATCTCCCTCTCGTAAGAGTTTCTGGTGATCAGGCGGTAAATCTTCACTGCCTTGCTCTGTCCGATCCTGTGGCATCTAGCTTGTGCCTGAAAGTACAGCGGGAGTAGGGAGAGTCAGACAAACACAACCTGACTGAGCAGACACTCGCTGACAACCAAGAAAACTGCATCGGTTGCATAATACGAGAGCCACATTCCATCCACTCACTCGGCTGGAAGTGTTCTATTATAAAAGGGCTTTTGTCGAATAAAATAGTTTCCCACAGAGGCTACTGGCAGTGTAGACCGTTGCTAATGACCCGCAGCCCCGGAGCAAAAAAAAGGCCTTTGCTTACCTGCAGGTCGTTCTGAGGGTTCCAGTCAGAGTCAAAGATGATACAGGTATCAGCAGCAGTCAAGTTAATGCCCAGGCCTCCAGCTCGGGTACACAGCAGGAACACAAAGCGGTCTGAATCGGGTCGAGAGAAGCGGTCAATAGCTGCCTGCCGGAGGTTTCCCCTCACTCTGCCGTCAATACGCTCGTATGGGTACCTGCAGAACAGCAAAGAGGCTTTAGAAATAGCACTTTATTTCCACATTTATTTCCTAAACTCACATCATAAACCGAAGTGTAATGCTGAATTTGAACAACTAGCCAAATTATGTCAGGGCTTATGCTCATGATTTGCTATTTTGTCAAAACCAGGAATGTTTGTAAACTAATAATAATTGATAATGGCATTAATTTATGCACTGTTTTCTTTTGGTCTTTGATGGTAGTGTTTTGTTTGGCAGGACTCCTACCGTCTCTGGATGAGGTAGTCCTCAAGAATGTCCAGACAGCGCACCATCTGGGAGAAGATGAGTACACGGTGGCCACCAGCTTTGAGCTTGGGCAAGAGCTTGTCAATCAGAACCAGCTTCCCTGCAGCCTGGATCATGGCCTGTAGGTGGAAGTCTGGTTGGTCTGCAGGGTGGGTCTCCCTGAACTCCTCCATTATCTTCTCCTCAGCACCTACAAAATGTAAAAAGAATTTAAAACACTGCTTTTCCAGGATGGACTCAGGACCTAGCTTAATCTTAACTTCAACTGATTATACCTTAATAGTACAACCCAGAAAAAAGGTCATTTTGTTGTATGACATTCAGCATATGAGGACAATCCTTATTTTTTATTTGTTAAACACCGCTGTGATTTTTTATTTCTGTTTTCTCACCGTTGATGAGGTAGGGGTGATTACAGCATTTTCTCAACTCCATCATGGTATTCAGCAGGTTGGGGACATTGGACCCTCCACCTCCTCCACCTCCACTCTTGGACAGGAAGGCGAAGTTTTTCTCCAGAATAGCACGGTAGTATTTCTTTTGCACGTTGGTCAGCTCCACTTCAATAATAGTCTCCTCTTTTGGGGCCAGATTCTTCTCCACATCCTCTTTCAGTCGTCGAAGCATCATGGGCTTCAGAATGCCCTGCAGTTTTTGCACCTGAGAGAGCAGAGATGGACAACACTTGAAACAAACACTATCACAGAAACTTTGCATTTAATACTAACTAGCGCCTATAGCTTTTATTTGTTATCATTCACATCTTTGGTGGAAATATTCTTCCTTTCAAAAATAGCATGTACCTTTACAGTGAAGATTAATGCTCAATGCCTAATCAGCACAGACTAATGGTTAATTTTTCATCTGCCCCAGTATTAGCTATAAGCTAAAGGTCAATCTGTTGTTCCTGTAAGTACCATGCAGCAAAGCGGTGAGAAAATGATAAGAGCTGATAAACTGCACCTGTTCCTCAGTTTTCAGGTCCCCAAACTCCTGCATGAAGGTAGACTCTGAAGGGAAGCGTTCTGGCTCCAGAAAGTTGAGGAGACTAAAGAGTTCCTCCACCGTGTTCTGCAGTGGCGTTCCTGTCAGCAGGACCTTGTGTTCCTGCAGGAGATGAAGAGGTTTGTTAAAAATCACGACCCACTGTCTCAGGTGAATAAGAAATTCATTAGAGGGGTCATCTGCAGCCCATTAATCAGAGCTCCTCCTCAGCTTCACAGCCAAGGGTCCCTCAGTTTTTTTCTTCCTAAGGCTCAGCAGGACAGAGATTAGGGAAATGCGGCAGAGCCAGCATAATTTCGGTCACTCTAATTGACATGATGCGCCAAACACGATAGGTTTCTGTTAACTCGTCTGATTCAGGGTCTCATGGAATAGGAATTTATATAAAAAGTCCTATACAAAAAGAACCAGCAAGATATCTACCATGTCCATCATCTTTAGTCCCTCCAGTAGTTTGCAGTTCCTGTTTTTCAGTCGATGGGCCTCATCAATAATCACACAGCGCCATGGAACACTCCGAAGCTCTGGGCAGTCAGTCAGGATCATCTCGAACGTAGTGATGATGGCATGAAATTTGTAGGCTCCCTTTATCACACGACCCTGGGTAAGGGAGGGCAAAATGCCAGAAGTGACTCAGGGCTCCACAAAATGACAATCTCTCAATGGACTTGACAATCATCAGAATCATGAAGAAAAAAATAAATAAATAAATAAATAAATTCAAAACCCTCAAACCACAGCGCTAAAATAGAGGCTTTGGTTTTTTTTTACCTGTGCATCTCTGTAGTTCATCTCGTAGGCCTGGATGGTCCTTCGGCTGGCCTGACTGCCGTGGTAGACGACCACATTGAGTTCAGTCCATGTCCTGAACTCCCTTTCCCAGTTCGGTATGGTGGACAGAGGTGCAATCACCAGGAAAGGGCCGTGGATACCCTTCAGGTAGATCTCATAGAGGAAGGTGATGGACTGGATAGTTTTTCCCAGGCCCATTTCATCAGCTAATATACAGTTTCGTCTAAAAAGGTTAAAAAGAAAAAAAGACGGAGCGGGGGAAAAATAAATTTAAAAAAATTAGACGTGACCTCTTAATTTAGTGCTTGCCAAAAGGAACACTGGAGCTTAAGTGGGATTGGAGCAGTTCATTAAAATTCTTTAATTTAAACAGGGAGAACTACAAAATTGTTGGTTTACTTGCAGCCTTATGGTCTGTATTAATGAGGGTGAGAAGCAGTGCAGCTGGACGGCAGAGTAATTGCATACATACGTGTTGTACCAGTTGAAGAGCAGCCAGTTGACTCCTTCCAGCTGGTATTCCCTGAGCGCGTTGCCGTTTTTATATTCCCTGGAACTCTCGGATTTCTGCCAGTCGCTGGCGGGAGGTCGCTCCTGTTTCAAATAAAACAATTCCCGTTAGTGGTTTTCAGCAACCGCAAGAACGTGGCCCTTTTCCTTTCGCCCCCTGTTTTGCTCTCTCGGCAGTCACAAGAGAAAACAAAGCTAGATGGAGCAGAGTGCCAGTCCTCACCACGCGCTTCAGCTGCGGCTCCCGTGCCATCACTCGCTCAAAATCCTCAATCTTGCCCTGGTCAATGTCTGCCTTCAGCTCCCACGTGCTGTCCTCATATGGCAGCGAACACCACTTCACCAGGTACAGAGTGACCGGCTGCGGAAGATAAAATTGTAAACAGTTAGAACTTTGCTTAGCTTGCAGGTTCTCTAAGCATGAGTTTGCTTTACAGCACATCACAAACGAAACAAAATAAAAACAAAACTGTTACACACATCTCCATTTTCGTCTGTGCTCTCGGACACGTCGAGAACTCTGTCCACCTCCACGTAGTCTGGGTTGAACGGTTCGTCGTCAATCTGAAAATAAGAATGGTGGAATTTATGTATGCACCAGTTCACCAAGCATATGCAAGCAGGGGTAGAACAATAAAAATAAAAGTCAACAACAATTACAACTTTCTGGTCAGAATTACAGAAACAACATTGACTAACAATAACGCTTCCATACCCATATTTAAAACACAACATTTTGAAAAAGAAGACATCTAAAACTCTACAATAAAACTGCACGTTTTTGGTTAAAACTAAAAAAAAATAAAAATTAAAAGTCACAAAAAAATACTGCAAGCAATGGAAAGCCTGAAAATTCAAAAGTCAGGTGTCAGGTCAGGGGTTTTTCACATCACATGCCTTTACGTATAAAATGTCACACGCTGACTCAAAAAGAAGATCTGGCTTGATGTTTAGGTCTCAAACGCAAAAACCAACATTATACAAATGAGGAATGACGACATTAGCAGATAATTCACCCACATTCCCAGAAGACATGGCCTTCGCCAAGTTCTGAATGAGCTCTCTCTGAATTCTCTTTTAATCATCATTCATTCAATCAGCGAAAGAGTACGAAGCACAACGCACATTTCACACTGCGTGCAATCACACGTTTCCACCAGAGAGGTCTCTAAAACTACCCTAAAACTTACATAGTGCAGCTTAAATTATGACACTGCTGTCCAGTTATCTATTGCAGTGGCAAGTCTGAACTACGCTAAAATCTAATTTGACCCGTTACAGGTCTGATCAATCAGCCTCTGCACATCGCATAGGAGGACAAGTAGCCATTTCGTTATAAGGGTGGATGTTTGTGAATGTGTAAAAATTTGACTGGTCTGTTGGTGTTTTAAAATTGGAGGTTGGATGAGTTTAGAGGACAAAATGTGAAATGTTGTGGTCAGGGAATAAGCAATATCTACCAAAATAAAAGTGCACCTGACCAATAATGTGATCAACTCTGAAGTGCAGAAAGACACATAGGATATGCAAAAAAAAATCTAGGTGCATCCCAACGGTACTGATGTGGGTGGTGTAATTCTGGGGGGGAAACCCATTTACACTACAATACTTTCACACAGGGTGAGAAAAGCTCTCAGACAAGATTTTCAAAAGTGAATTAATACAAAAGTACTCAGCTCCTCAGCTACCTTAACACCAGGAGCAGAGAGTGAACTTGGTGGAGATAAGGTCATGAAATGCTCCATTTTATTGCCTTCACCTGAGTCTGTTCAAAACGGCACCATAAACATATGCAACCACTACATACAGCCACCATTATCAGTGCAAGCTGTAAAAGGGGGGGGGGAAGGAAAAAACAAAATGGCGGACAAACCGGGATATGGAGGATGGGTACTGACCTCGTTTAGGAAGTTGTTGAGTGCCTGCTTGGCTTTGAACCTCTTGACCTTCTGGTGGATTCTCTTGTCCTTCTCCAGATCCTCGAGGTCCGCCCAGCGACAGTGCAGGTACGAGCTACATAACACCAACAGCACATAAAGCCAAAGTTTGTTTAAATGTAAACAAACTACACATGGTTGGCTAACATGGTTGACATGGGCCTTTGGACAAGGGAATAGTAGAGAAAGGTCAGTGGGAGTATTTAAAGTAGCTGTTTTGACAAAAATAAGGTCTGTGTGGCAGGCCTTTGGTTCTTAGAGGAAAAAGATATGAGGTAGAATTATCTAATTTCTTAATCCCACTATGAATAACCTGCCAAATACAGATATAATCCACTCATAAGATAAGCCTGTAGATCGACTGCAAGCTGGACAGCGTTCTATTAAATCAATATAGAAGCAACCATATGTACAAAGCACCATATGAACGCATTATGTGCAAGGTGGAAAGCTGGTAATGTTAACTAGCTGGGGACCCAAAGTCTGAATGCCCTAGTGAAAACTCTATTGTGGGGGACGATATTACAATATTTAAAAGACATCGCGATAGTCGATATGTATCATGACATTTTGATGCAGTGCAATAACAGTGTCACATGTAAAAACTGCCTTCAAAATCTCAGGGCATAATGCTTTTTATTTAACATTTCACACAACTGCACTAAACCCAGTAAAACAGGACTAATTACGCTGTTTTTAATGAAACACGGTGCTGGTCAGCATTTTTTTAAGTGTGAATGATATCAATCATTCACTCAGAAAAGCTTTCATGGCAGCATGTATTCAAGGTGAACTCCGCAAACTTGTGTAAAAGCCTCTGATTAGTAGATGAAACCCAGCTGAGGGTCTGAACATGAGCTTCACTGGAAGACTTAAAAACAAATCTGACCTTTTTGTAGAAAGACCTCAGCATAGTCAATGTCACAAATTTGCCTAAATTTGAATAGCAATCTAGAAATAATGTTTCTTCACTGTTTCACTCGGTTAAAGCATATTTTATATTCTTTAAACAAGTGGTCAGACACTTGGACCCCACATTAACGATTACATAGCTGCTACTAAACTTGAGATTTATTCTTTAGCTACTAGCAAGCCTGGCTCTTGCTTGTTTCTGATGGCACTGTCAGCCAACACCCTTTCTTCTTGTCCATTTCTTTCAATACGGACACCTTTCGACATGCACTGTCTTCCAAAGTCTATGGGCAAAATCAAATAACCAAAAACAGCATCTAAAACTTTTTAATTCAATTTAAGTTGTGCAACAGCAAACACGGTTTCCTTTTTTTCCTCCAAAAAATTAAAGGGTTGAATCTGATGAAATTAGTCTTAAAGCTACACCAAGTTGTTCCAAAAAGTACAAATGTAATCTATGCAAGGCAGAACACGACCACTTTCATACCATTTAATAATTACCATCATCCCCCATTAAACACAGGTCATAGTAAAGCTGATCTAAGATGGCTAAAAGCTTTTAATAAGATTACATCTTTTAATATGTTAAAATTATTTACTAATTCTCTTTGTTTCGCACAACGGAGACAGTATTATGCTTTTTTTTTTTAAAGGGATACTCACAAACTCTTGAATTTGACGTAAAATTCCTCAACCTCCACTTCCTCTCCAGACTCCAGCTGTAAAAGGGAAAGCAGAACGGATTGATTGGTTTTTAATGTAGCCGAGTGTTTGTGTAACTTAATACTTTTAAAGTTCATGAGATCCTACAAATCACAGCTGAAGAGGTGGAAGGGGGGGAAAAAAAAAAGAAAAAAAAAAACCCACACAACCTAACAGTTTTTTTTGGTTCTCTCCACGCTGCACGCTTCCTGTGACGCAACACAAGAAGTTCTCGTTTTCTTGGCACGCGTATTTCTGCTCGCCTGTACCGCCCCAGGACGAAGGCAGAAACGACAATAGAGAGACAAGGGGAAAAAAAAAAAAGAAGTTCCCTCTCTCTGTAAAGAGCAGTGCGGTGTGCCTGAGTCATGAGTCATGAATCACTTCAGCCCCTCCACCGCACACAGCTTCGCTCACAGGGAGCTGACCCGGGCCTGGCTTCCTGCCAAAACCACAGTGCTACGCCAGACGCCAAAACCTACCATTTCCTCGGGCGGGAGCCCATTTGCAGCTGCGCTACTGAGAGCCGCGTGCGCCGTGTGTATTATTTTTGGCCGGCGGACTCGCAGTGCCGTTGTGAAAGGTAGTAGCGGTGCGCGCCGCCCGTTTTCTGCTAAAGCTGAAAGTAATCACTCTGATAGGAGGTTTTCTCACTCAGTACTTGTCACCAGCTGGCTCACGGATCTATTACTACACAGCAACGGCAGAGAAGCAAAACTGGAATTCCTTACAGGACTAAAACTTCTGTCTTTACAGTGGAATAAAACCTCTGAAGACAGACTCTGGGGCTACAGCACAGCTCAGTTGCTCGGCTCTGAGGAGGTTTCTGAAGCAGATGCTGGGCTCTAGGGCCATACAGTATGTCGTTTGTTAATTATCATCACGATGTTGGCTGCGTGCACCTATACGGGAATTGTGGGCCATTGCTGATCAATATTTGTCATTTATGTCTCTGCTGAGGCCAACACAAACATCTATAACATGCAGAAACAGGGAATGAATCTACGTGGACTGGCATTAGAGAAATGTAATTATTTGCAAAGGATTAAAAATAAAGTAAAATTAATAAAATGCAGGCAACTAAGTGCAGTAACCCAGTGTTTCCTAAATTCTGCTCTTCTGGAGTTCAATAAATTCATGATCAAAACTGGTTCTCAGGTTAAAGATATTATTCCAGATTGTTGTATTTTTCTATTTGTATATATGTCTGTAGATAGGATCTTTATATGTTTAGTCTTCCTGTTACATTGTTTACATCCTTATTACTGTCCTGTGTTGTGTGACTGCTACTGGCTGCTAAATTTCCTTTGGGATCAGTAAAGTGTCTGTCTGTCTATATCATAGTGTATCCATTATACCGACCTCTGTGATACCGGTCTATGCAAATGAGCCTCTAGATGTTTTCATACATGTGCCTTGAGCATGCTGACCAATCACAGACATTTAGGTATTTGAAAGAATCTTAAACATAACTCCTTTGCTTTAATTTGCAGTCCAATGTTTATGCAAGCCTTATCAAAATGTTTATAACACATTTTAGAGGCATACTGTCCATACTGGCGTCCAAAATAGGGGGTTTGGGTCAGTAGTGAGGCTAGAGCCTGAAATATTGGTATGTAACTGACAGGACCTAACTCTTCACACTTTTACCCTGGATTTCCCCCACTCTAGTTTTTTTTCTTCCTAGTTCATTCTTTCTCTATTTGCCTTTTGAAATCATGGCATGCTGTAGTACTCACTCATGTTTTTGACAAGCTTTAGCACTGAGATGCTAAGATCTCCGCTTGTAAGAAAATGTTTGGGACAGAATAGTTTAGTGCAGCAAAAAGGATGTTTATATTTAATTTGATTGGCCAAAAATATTTGTAACATTCTATGTTAAGAAACAGAGCTTTAGGATTGAACGGGTAAAGGCTCAAACCTTGCTATATCAGCACTGTACAGTGTTTAGTCACACTAAATTCATTTGAGATGTCTGAAAGCACTTTTTGATAAATAAATCTGTTAAAGCATAATGTCCACCCAATACTTGTTTGAACCTCCTATGAAGTTTGTGAAGAGTCTGTCTTGTTTTGTTGTGTTTACAGTACATGTTTGTCAAGATAACAGTGTTATGCTGCACTGGTATAATAACATGTTGAAAGTTGTAACAACTTGGGACAGTTGATTCTTTTATTATCGAGTATGTACTTTTATTTATCCACAATCAAATGATTGCTAGGTTTTATTCAACACGTTGTTGGAGTTTCAGACTCTAGACCTGATGCGGTCTAGACACAGACTGAATCTTGGTTGTGTGGTTTAGGTCAGGTTGGACTGACAGTTCTTGGGCTGTCTGTGGGTTTAGGGCACAATTAAAGGTCTAAGCTGAATATGTAACGACTACTCAACTCTCACCTGTTTCTTTACCATACGCATGCCCATAATCTTCTCCACAACGGGACCCTCTGCATCAGGCACCTCCTAAAACAGACACAGAGGAACAAATGACAGTGATAAATCAGTCAGGGAACATTCCTCCAGCAAAGCAACAAACAGCAGGTTACGTCAGCAATTTTCCACCTCCACTGTGGTGACACCATCGCACACTTGTATCGTAACAGCTTGTGGCACTGACCGTCTGTTCTGAAGTAGTCGAGGGAGATTTGGGTCCCGGAGAATCGTCTCCATCGTCGTCCTCGTCAGAGATCCTGAACTCCAGGTCCTCAGTGTAGCGCTTTCTTTTCACCTGCCGGCTCGAGCGCCTTTTCTGTGACCACAACACACAAAACACTAAGTAAAATGGCAGCAATCCTTTCTAACCTAACTGTGTCTACAAATTACAGTCAAGTGACACCTGACAGGTAAGGGTCATGGAAAATCTTATGTGCAGAGATCTTTGCAATTAGGTCATTGTTACGCTTTTATTCCATTTCCCACTAATTCGTAGCATATGCTACAGGCATTTCATAAAAAGGAATGTTAATAGCTGGTGTAATAAGAATCCAACCTCAGTCTACGTTCATCTGAACAGTAGTGAGTGCACCAAGAATTATATTTGTGTTTAGAAATGTACAATGCTCACATTACACTGGTAAACCACCTACATCATACCTAAAATTGGCGTGTATGTATATTTATTAATATTATGCTGATTAGTTACTGACAATTACATAAGCACAATGCCTGTTTATTTGATTTTGTCTGAATTTAACTTGTTGGGAAAAAAATACACCATAAAATGAGGCCTGTGCAAAAGTTATGGCTATTTCATGATGGTACACCTCCCCAAAACAGCAAATGAATTGTAATTGTGCCCCAAAATTATGACATGTTCCTGCACTTTAAATGTGCTCCATGTAGAGAATGTGTTAACTTATTTTCACTCCAACAAAACATTTAATTTAAACAATGTTTCATGCAACTGTAGCTCTATACTCGCCACAACACGAGTTTTCTAATATTAAGTGTCAGTTTAACTGCTGAGACCTTCTCAAATACAAGAACTTACTCATGAATCTGAGGCATTTTGTTTCCGCAGTATGAAGTGACTGAAGCATTTTTAATCATTCTGGATGACAGCAACATAAAATGAATCATGCTGACCGGTTTACAACAGAAACTACGGACTTAAAGCCATATTAATCATTCTGTAAACACGAGGTTTTGGATAGCGGCCCTCAAGTCAACGGCCAAATCTGGCAGTGCACATTTTTTTGAACACAATATGGGCGTTTCGTAAAAACAACCCCCTTGCTAACCGTGGCTACGTCCACATCAGCCATGTGTGGCAGGCATGTTGATAATGTCTCATCCACAAAACAAAGGAAAGCAGCCAATCAGTGAGCTCGCCCAAGATTTGGTCCAGAACAGAAAACTGCAGATGGTCTGATTTGGCTGATCCTGCCGCTGCCTAACGGGGCGGTGGAGCACAGCAGGCCGTAACCAGAATGGCACTCAGGCAGCCGTCCAAAACGAGGTGAGATTAAATCACAGTAGATCAGCAAAGTGTAGCTCTAAAACCCTATACAGATACAACATAGCTTGAATGCTACAACTGAATCCATGGAAAATAATATTCCTTTTTTTCCTTTTTTAAGGGGGTTAATTGAGTAAACCAACATCGCTAAATTTCACTGGAAACTAAACTGCAAAAACGACTCGTTTTTATTTTTGTGATGTTAAAAAATGAGGTGCGCTACAAAGCAGCCAATCAGAACAGAACTGATTTAAATATGTCAGTCTGAAATGCACAGTCTGTTTAATTGTAAGAGATAGAGAGCTTGGAAAACAGAAAATATAAATTGTAAAATTGATATATACAACCAAACAAAGTGTCATAAGTAGCTATCACAAAAAAATAAAATTGAAAGAAATCTTTTCGTCTCTTCAGCACAGCCAAACTCAACCACATTCGGTAGAGCAACGTGTCTGGGTAACATTCTGGGCTACAAAACTGAATCTATAGGCTTGCTAACCCTATCCATCTTTGTAGCATCCCCTCACACTCTGCAGATAAGTTTGTTACCTGAACACCATCATCATCCTCTTCCTCTGGTGATGGGGGAGGCGTTTTCTCTGTATCGGAAGTGATGGAGGACTCTCTCTTGCGCTTGGCGTCCTTCTTGGTGCTGCTCTCCGTGTCAGGCTTCTTAGCACTGTGAATGGACAGTGGTGGTCAGTTAGTGCACACAATCAGCACAGGCAAAGTGCGCTAACCACTCAGTGTCAGATCAACAAATTTACTACTCGATTAATGTTTATTCATTCTCATTTCATTTCTTTAAGATGAGTTGTAGTCATGTAAAAGGTGGGGTGCTTTTTGGCCAAACCAGAACTTACGAGCAACAGCTCTGGAGCCCAAAAAAAGCAAAAATGGTTTTGTTGGCTATAGATTGTATTTTTTTTTTAACCAGACATTCCATGAAGTAGATTATCTATTGTCAAGCAAAGTGCTGGGAGGGGACAAGAAAACAAAAATAGCAGAAAGAAGTGTACACTCCCTTCAAGTTCCAGAGAGAGCGCAAAAAGAGAGTGAAAAAGAATCAGTATGAGAAGAAAGGATGAGAGAGAAAATTGTAATGCAGGAAGAAAGAAAAAGACAAAAGGACAAGGCAGAGACAGAGAGAGTAAGAAAAAGACAAGAGACAGAAAGAGATAGTGAGACAAAGGGGAAGAGAAAGTAAGAAAAAGACAGAAAAAGTCAGATACACAGACAGAAAGAGAAAGATCAAGAGGGAAAAAAAAAGACAGAAAGAGTAAGAGAAAGAAAGACAGAGTGAGACAGAAAGAGAGACAGGGACAGGGAGAATAAGAGTGACAGAAGTGTGCAGTAGAGCAGGCGAGCCGAAACTCCACTTCCAGTTCCGAGTGCCGCTCTCCCTTCCCTGCCACAGATTACTGGATGCCCTGGAGGCTCCGGCGCTCGCTCGCCGCTCAGGGCCCCCCTCTCCTTTCATTCGCACGCCAAGAGCAATCAAATCGCCCTGGTAACCGGCGGTCACGTGACCCGCACCTGTTCCTCTGGCTGGACGCCACTGGCTAAAGCCATCTGCTTGCCTCAGTCAGAGTCTCTCTCTCTCCCTCGCTCCCTCTCTCTAGCACCTGCAGCAACGAGGCTGGCTCTGTGGCTTTGGGTTTCATACTGTCACCGTTCAGCAAACACAGCCAGAAAGAAAGAAAGGAAGAAGAAGAGATGCATACAAAAGGAAGAAGAAAAAAAAATAAGACAGAAAAAATAGCAAGAGCTATAAGAGCATGAAGAGCAGACTTGTAGAAGGAGGGGTGAGGGGATGGCGCGCTCGTTTCTTTCGATGGCCTGACCTTTCTGAATAATCACAGCGGTCAGGGAGCAGTTCAAAGCTCTAAAGGCCGAGCGACTCTGCTTTAGTTGAGGATCCAGCCTCCCTCGCTGCAGAAGGAACAGAGAGGATCACACCGACCCGTTTGCAGGACGGGTGGGCGATATAGCAAAAACGTAACATCACAATACCAGTAATGTAACGGCACAAATTTCCTATGGCTAGCATATTAGCTTGTGGCTAACACATCAGCTCGTAGCTACAAGCTAATAAGTTTAGCTAGCATGTTATCTCGTGGCTAACATTAGCTTGCAGTCAACACAAGGATATAACTGGGTTGAACACTGGAGGGGTCAGTGGATGTCCTATGGGGGTCCGGAGGGCATGTAGCCACGGAAAAGAACCGGTTTATATAGGATCTCTGGTTTAAGCTCCCGTTTCCCGCTCTGGGCGCAACCAGGAGGGTAAAAGAATATTTATCAATATTTATTATGCTGATATTAGTTACTGACAATTATTTAAAGCAGCATTCATTATATAAAAAAAAGAATTATAAAAAAAATAAAAATAAACTATTGCCATATTCTAACAAATCATGATCAAAATGAATAACTGGCATATAGACCAGTTATTAATCGTCAGGAGGGGTTGCATCCCCTCAGAGAACGTTATTACATGATGGTAAAATGATGGTTATGAATACAATATCAAAGACATTGTTTTATGACAGGCTGGACAAAAGCTTTCGTGCTAAAACTATTTTTTTTTAAAACTTCATTCATGGTGGAGGGATACATGCAGGGTATTGAAGCAGAACAATCCCCAAAAATAAACAACTTTCAGATTTTTCCACTATTTTATCATCTACATTCCATATAAAAGTCAGAAAAGGTTCACTGGTGGTTTTGGATAGTAAATAAAATGTTTATATGTGTGTTGTAGTCATGGCGACCCCTGGTTCCTATCACCACCACTGTAAAGAAACCTGAGTTTCTACAATCAACCATTTCACACCAAACCACTCTGAATCACTCGGCTTGCGACTCAAAGAGCAAATTATGCAACAAAATATTCCTCTTTAACACTTCCTGACGGGTAATAGGGTTCCATTTAGCTCTCATCACTACTAGCACTACCACTACTACTACTCATACTGTAATATACTGCTATTTTCCGGTTTTTGTCCATGAAAATATTGTGATATAAATTACAGACCATGATGCCCATCTCTACTGGGAGCATGTGAGGGTCTGCAGGATGTGCTGTGTGAGTGTAAAAGAGGCAGAGCTGGAGGGTCTAATTGGCATTAGGTGGGAGTGCAGGCAGGGGTAGGGGGCAGGACGCACGGCCCGGTGCCGATTCCATGAGCCCCGCTGCTCCACACGCACACACAGAAGGAGGAGAGGGCCAGGGGGTTAATGGGACACCTGCCGTTGCCGGTGAGATGACTCATCCTCAACTGGACACCCCCTCCCCCCAGTCTCTCTCGCTCTCTCTCTCTCTCTCTCTCACACACACACACAGCCAGCTCTAACAGCAGCTGCTCTCTTACACACACAGAACTGTTTACACTCCTTAGCTCTTTTGCAGTCGCCATCACGCGAGTGAAACGTAAACAGACACACAAGTGAGAACGTAAAAAAACAGAGGGGGCAGTGGGGGGAAAGAAAGAGGACGCTGGAACAGGCTGCTAAAAGACACCTGGGCTTTCAATTTATTCTACAGGGATGCATCACTATGGGAACTGTGGGCTGATATTTAATATTTTTTTTTTTTACATGTATATCTGCCAATGCTGATCCATAGTTTCTAAAATATAGAAACTGGGACCAGATCCACCTGATTTGCATTACAGAGAAATATAACGATTAGTTTTGTAGGGTTTCAATTGCAATAAAATGTAGCCCAGTGTGGCCTAAAGAGAGTGTAACATCATTAAATATCAATTTAAAATATTAGTTAAATCTTAACGTCTTTTCAATGCAGATCCAAAGCAAACATCTGCTGATATATGATTCAGACATTGGTTTGTATTATGGAAGCATGACATTCTCAGTGTGCATACTCTGCTTGGGGCTTTCAGAAGAGTACACAAAGGCACAGAGGACAGCGAGTGCAGGTTAGTTAAAACTGGTTATCACTTGGGAATCAACAGGGCGTGGGAACAAAATTGCTCAAAAATGTCACTGAATTAAAGGAGGGGAAATGCCTTACTAGATATGAGCGAGAAAGAATGAGGGGGGGGAGAAGCACAAGAGAGATTGAGAGGGGGAGAGCGAGAGAGATGAATGAGCGAGAGAGAGAGAGAGAGAGAGAGAGAGAGAGAGAGAGAGAGAGAGAGAGAGAGAGAGAGAGAGAGAGAGACAAGCTAGATATAAGAGAGTGACCAAAAGAGTAAGAGAAAGAAAAAGAATGGAAAAAGGTGGCATGTGGGATATTGAGGAAAAATACAACAGAGAGAGAGAAAAAGAGAGCGAGCGAGCAAAGCAAGTGAGAGAGAGCGAGAATATGGCATCGCGCCGTGGGGCCGTCTAAGCAAGGTCACCCGCACTGTGGAATCACTCAATTACTCACTATCACTGACAAGGCAGGTTTATTACCCAGACCTCTACTGAGATCAGGATGCACATCGGCACCCGACTGACACAAAAACTGGCACTAATATCCTTTTTAAAGAGCTAAAAATTCTTATAACCAGTATTAGTAAATACTGTTTAACAGTAAAAACTAAACCAGACGGCAAAAGCTTTAGTTAAACAATGTTTTACTGATAAGATCTGAACAGTGAATGTTTAAAGATAGGGGTATAGTGATGCACTTGGCCCACAGTTCAGTTCTCAGTACTGGGTTCGTAGTTTGATATTCATGGTATTTTGAACAAAACTGAATTAGGAAAATTGATGACTAGCAGATCATTAGTAAGCTGTGCAACAACATGGATGAACAGTGCTGCAAGTTCATTTGCAAACTTTGGAGTTCAAAACAATGAATTCAGTGTCAAAATTAACAGAGAAACTACTCTACGCCACAGCTTCGCATCACAAGATCACGATGCCACAATGCAAGTATGTTCTTAAACGGAACAAACTCTTAAAATACAGGGGAGAATCTTCACAGAATTCTTAGCAGCATTGGCTGTTTCCATGAATCGGCTTATTTTTCCCTTATGGCTTTTCAGTATTATTCACAGAAAGTTCACATTACAAGGTTATCCACACGCTAAAGGTTAGGTTTGGGTGCATTCCACTGGAGATGTAAAACAAAGTATGCACTGTATTATACTACTTTGAGGCTAGCAAGCATATTAGTTTGCGATATTACAAAGCACAGCTTTTGCTTTTTCTGTGCTGCTATGAAACCAGTCTAAATGGTGCAGGTACTTGTTACATCTCAAAAGTTTTTATTTTGACAAACCGTTATTTATTAGAACGCTATTAAACTACTAATTTTTGCTGTATTGGAACCGTATCATACCGATCTATGAATTTTTGCCAATCACTGCACCTACACTTTGTATTTCTTATTTTTATTTCGTTTTACATACAATCCAGTATGTATCGCTGCGTATGGAAGTAAACAGGTTATTCTAAGTCTCCTAAAAAGAGGGGCACACGAATACGAAACCACCGAACCTTTTAAATTGTCACCACAACAAGCTGCTCTACAACTCTAAATGCTTCATATCTCCCATCTTCTTCAAAAACGAAAGCGAAAGGCACCTCTGAGAGGTGAAGGGGCGATGAGGACAGGAAAAGTAGTGCAGCGGTGGCTGCTTAACTAACTTTCATCAGCTTTCTAAACAATGCCTGCTCAGCCAAAGGTCTTTTCATATGCGTGCTGTGGTGGTGAGAAAGGAGGGGTTAGGCTGCTCTTTGTCTTTCGCATGCTGAGCTTTGATTGCAGAAGTTTAGTGGTGACAATGTGCCCTCTTCCTCCCATCACTCCTTCCTCTCCCTTATGACGTGTACGCAATGCATGAGGTGGGTTAACAATTAACATAAGCGTTAGGACTACGTTCAAATCTACTGACTGCTTTTTTCCTTTTCGTTTCTGAGGAGAAGGCCGCGTCTGATCACCAAAGCAGGAAAACAACTCCTCGTAAGAAGCAAAAATCTCCTAACCAACCCCTGGTGGGACGATGTGCCTGGCAGGCAAGGAGGGATACAACAAAAGGGGAGGTGGGGAGGAGGGGATGAGAAGTTAGTTAGATGCTGAGTGTTCACTCTCTTTATAGTGCTATCTTCCTCTCAGCATTGTCTTTGAGGTTCAATGTCACATGAAACTTTCTGCCAGACCCTGGAGGGTGGGTGGGGAGGGGGGGAGGAGGCGCTTGTTTGAGGACAAATAACCAGTCAGGCAACCAGGCATGTGGGTCCGACTGAGCTAAAAAGTGCAACGCACTTGCTCACTCACTCTCACTCACACGTGTTGCTGCACTTCCTATGCAACCACCACTGTTGTGGTTTAGCAGATCTGAGTGTACAGGATGTACTTATGAGATAACCTGTGTCTCTGCGTCAAGGCGAGATCAGATCGGAGGGCCTGCAGAGCCAATGGCTGCACACCATACTCATGCTGTTAGAAGGGGCGAGGAGGAAAGAGAGAAAGAAAGAAAAGGTCTCGGTGACTAAAATGGGGGATTTGCTGTAGTTGCTTGGGAACCTGCCAATGAATCGAGGATGAGAGAAGTGTATTTGCATTGCAAAACACTTTAGTCGTCTCACTGGGGGACAGAGCCACACGCACACACACGGGTATGGTGGCGGAAGGAGACTGGGAAGTATTTGATGGCTGCGTGTACAAAAACAAAACCTGCGCACACTCCTGTGTAACCCCTGGGTGTGGTCCCACACAAGGCGGAATAACTATTTATAGTTTTACCTTCCCCCTGGATGAAAAAGCCAACAAAAGCAAGGTCAGAAGCCCTTTGAAAATCCAAAGTGCTCTGTTCTCCCTCACTTCCTGCCTTCCCTTGGTTTAAACGTGGAGTAAAAGGTTAAGAGAAAGCTGATAAGAGGGCTGGCGAGGCATTTGTAGCATTTGAAAAATGGCAAGTGGGAGTAAAACTGAACGACAAAGGCCAATCACATGTGCGACTTGCTTTGCTATGCTATGCAGATTCAGCCTAGTAGCCCACTTTCCGAGTGGGGGAAATGAGGCCACATGGCTACCAAACCGGCCTGAGGTTCAGCCCCCAACACTACATCCAACACTGGAGCAGATCTGGTCCAATCCAGGGCGGCATGATTAATGGCACGGCCTGATGGACTAACCACCATTATGTGCCATTTTGAATGGAGAGATACCCCTCCCCCCCGATGCTTCCCTCCACTACCCCACCCCCTTGAGATGACCTACTGCTCTGGCTGTGTGCTGCAGAGGCACCGCCGACTGCTGGCGTTGGCCCCACCCTCTTCCTCTAGATGAAAGAAGTGGTGGAGTGGCAGGACTGCGGAGGGGAGGGGCATGGGGGGGGGTTAGGGGTTGTTGCACATTCCTCAGCAAGCTCATATTACTACCTTCACTAGAGAGGGGGCAAAAAATGGCAGTACTGACTGCTAATGCATATTCAGTCTTGACGCAGACTGTTTTCCGTGTTTGGAAGGGGCTGTAATAAGTGCAGTGAAAAACACACTATACAGGAAAAAGTATCCTTCTAATTGGTGAATTTGGCTCCTTTCCTATAATCTCTGGAGAGATAAAGCTCCATCCAATACCTTTGGGATGAGCTGGAGTAGAGTTTGTGATCCAGCAACAGCATTTGACTTCACCAATGCTTCTGTGGCTGAATTACGAGTGAGCGATATGGCAGAAATCACACCACAATATTTATTGTGATCTTTTGACAATGCACTAGTAGTGCCATATCAAAAAACTCTGGACACAGTGACTTAACACTTCACATGCTGTGCTGCACTAATTCCAATTAAACAGGACTAATTATGTTCTCCTTTTAATGAAATGTGCAGTGTTTAAGTGTGGACCGTATCGCAATATGCTCACAGAAGTATACTAATTATCACAATAATAAAATACTATCATATCGACCAATTCTAGGCTGAAAGCAAACAAATCCTGCTGGCAAATGTTCCAACATCTCGCATAAAGCCTTCCAAGAGAAGTAGATGTTAGATGAGCAGGTGTTTACTTTTGGGAACACAGTTCAAATTTGCTTCTATGCGGACGGTGATGTGCACCTTGAGAAGAGGCCAACATAGAAAAAAAAAAATAAAAAATCCTTCAGGCTAAAGGAAGTGGTTCACTGACACTGCACAGCTTTGAACTCTCGGCAGCACACGGATGACAAATATAGCACAATGGAAGCTCAGACAAACAATTGCACCAGGGCACAGACATTCAAAACTCAATGCTAACCCTTTGCATTTTAATGTGTGGCTTGGCTCAGTTTAATGTGAAGTACCCATGACAACTACTGTGCCATGAGAGGCTTAATATTTTTCCCCAATCTTGCTAATACTAATGCTGGACCATGTTAAAATATCCACTACATAACTACTTTAGACTGTTATTGTCATCTTCTGACAGCAGCTATGGTTCATTCATTGGCTGGGATAATCCTGGCTTTCCTAAAGATAACGCTGTACAAAAAAAACAAACAAACAAACAAACAATAAATAAATAAAAACTACATATTTTATCAACATTGCTACTTCTATAAGCTATAAATCCATGACTTCTGTTTGCTGGCTGGAGACAACCATGCCACCATCGGCACTAGACGGTACCAGACGACCTAGAAAACATAACTACAGTTCAGTGAACCGGATGATCACATGATCATCAGTGCTTCCACTGAATTGGATGCTGGAAAACAGATCTCTGAAAAATCAAAGACCAACTGGTCACATGACCACACTTTATGCACTCTGTAAGGTCATGTAACTGTGGGAGATACACAAGCTTTTTTTGCCACAGTTTATTTTACACTGGAAGACAAACATCTTTTAAAAGTATGATATTATGATCAAGAGGTTGGCGGGGGGGGCAGTAAATAAATATATTGATATCATACCTTGGCTTCTTGGAGCTCTTCGGCTTAGGAGTGGTTGTCTTGACCTTCTTCTCTTTAGGTTCCTTGGGTTCTTTGGGCGTTTTTGGAGTTTTCGGTGTTTTTGGAGTCTTGGGCTCTTTCGGTTCCTTAGCCTCCTTCTCCTTTGGTCTCTTTTTGCTCTTCTTCTGACCGGGAGACTGGTCAGTGGGGCAAAGCCCAGTCTCTCCATCACCCCCAAAGCCTCCTCCTGCATCCAGCTTACAGACCTCGTCCTTTCCTTCCATTTCCTCGCTCACCTTAGCTTTCTTCTTCTTCTTCTTTTTTGGCTTCTGCTCACTCTCCATCTGTTGTGCGTCACAACTGCCTGGCTGGAGGTTCGAGCCTGAGGCAGGTGTCTTGCTGGATGCCGTCATCTCTGAAGAGGAATCCGATGGGGAATGCTGCGACAGAGAAAGGAAAATCTTAGTTAGCACTGGGAAAACGGACAGGAAAGAGACACTTGTTTTAATAAGGAAAATAAGGGGTCAACTGCATTTATTTGCATTTTTTAAATATATTTGCCATTATACAGCCATGCATGAATCCTAGATAACTTATGCTCTTGAAAAAGGAACCAAAAGCAGCTGAACTTTGAGTGTTCTCAAATAGTCACCAGATGCCATCACCTCTTCAGACTTGCAGTGTTTTCCAAACTGCTTTAGGGTTCAAAAATGAGAACGCTGCATCTCTACTAGTGATCAAGCAGAATATGACTCTACTTGACTGATCCGACATACTGTGGTTATATATTAAGTGCTACTGTGTATTTATGGTGGTTTGCAAAGAGTTAGCGTTACTGCAATTATATTCGGTCTGAAGACAAAAACACTCCTGCATTCCTTTGAGCTGTCATTACTAAATCGGGTTTGCTAAAATAGTGAGGGAAACAAACTTAGCTGCTGGACAGAGCATTACTACAAGGGACAGTTGAGCTAGCTAATAGGGTACAAATGTAATATGATAATTCAAGATTTCACAATATATACGATGATATTTATCTTTTCAGATAAGCTGCATATCAGAATCCAGAAGTATCAGGAGAGGAAAAACTGGATCGCTAGACGCATAGTTTCGGCCTACTCATGCAGAAGCAACACTAGCAGCTCCGTTTAACTCTGCCTCTTTCTAGGAGGAGAGTTAGCTCAACTGCCTTCTACAGCAAAGACAGACTGACAGGAAGCACACTGGCAGCTGTGCAGAGCGTCCAGCTGCCCAGAGGCCCAGCAGCAGATGGGCCTGAGGCATTATGGCACTAATAAATTATATCTATACTTTAAAAAAGGAAAGGAGGGGTGGGGAAGGGTAGGCATTTATGGACATCAGCAAAATTTACCGCAATATGCCACAACTCTCACTAGGCACATGTGTCTTAAAAATCCTCACCCCCTGTCAGAACTGTTTGGGATGCATGGCTTTTTTCTTTTAGAGGGCGACGACGATTCTAGGAACAGACTTCACAGACGTGCTGTATGATGTTCTTTTATTGCATGGCATGCATGACGCTTTAAGATAAAAGTCTTTCAAAACCACACCACTGTGGTGGTTAAATGCAAATTTCCTGTAACGTACTAAAAGAGGGGAAAAGGGTGCACCATGCATGAGAAACAATCGCAAGGTCACAGAAAACACCCAACACCCAGCCCAGCAGCGGTCATTAGACCAGCTGGACCGGAGGGGAGGATGCTGCCTCTGCCGCCGCCACTGCTGCTTTAACGGATAAATGTCTCGTCTCTTGCCAAGCCTCCCCAATAATCAATTGCATGAATGACAATAGGCCCTCCGCACGCGCTCTCTGCATTTCTAATTTGACAGCCGCAGTCCAGAATGCGATATGCTTGATATAAAGTTTCATCTCTCCAACGGGGAGACTGACGTGTCAGTTAATCTAGCAGGCAAAGTGCTCGCTCCGAGAGCTAAATACTCCCTGAAGGAGCCCCATGCTGCTGCTGGCTGCTGCCTTGCAGCAGACTTTTTTTCCCCCTGCATAGTGAAAACTAGCGATGAGCTAACACCCAATTCATCTGATGACACTTGGCTCCTATGCACTGAGCCAAACCCCATCTAAATGCTATCTTAGAGATTCACGGCTTGAACTTCAGCCTGCCTCTGTCAAAGAGCAAAAGTAAATGGGCTTCTTATTTATGAGGTTACAGCAAGCTACTTTAAACATACTCACTGCACAAGAGCATGCAATTAAACAAAGTTCTGAGGTTCGCAAGGAAAGCTTTCCTCCAAATCATCCACATGATCTGTGCAACATCCCAGTTAAACGTAATACATTTAATGAATAATATGAAATGAGTAATAAGCTCCTTGCAATACTGTTGATATCGTGGTCAAACCACAACACTGTTTCAGAGGTACTGATACCAAAAACTTGCAAAGTAAATTTGCTGGCTGCTTCGAATTGCTTTAAAAGAACAGTTCATAATGCATAAAAACCAAATAGCTTCCTTTCTGTATATGTAATTTGCATCTGGTTTAACGTGTTCAGTACTGCATAAAGTTTCCCTTTGGTTCAATTTAAGTTACACAGAACAAAACGGTTAAAAACAGGAGCGAATATCTTTGCCAAGGAGTAGCAGTACTCAAGAACTCTGGAAGCATGAGTTTGTTAACTTTACGAATGCAAGGTTAAATATCATAAAATATATGCTGACTGGTATACCAGGATATTTTCCAAACATTGCAAGTACAACTGACTATTTAGAGCAGTATTTATCAAACCCATGAGATCTGGAACACTGCTTTATGAATGAAAAATTTGTTTAGAAGAGAGTAGACGGACAAACTTTACACTAAAATAAACTGCTAAGCACCAACCAACTATCGTGCCTGTCTTGCTATTTCTACTTTATGTAAATAATGAGGACGTGTATGTCTGTGAACTGTTACGCTTGGTACCCATTTAGCTGGTGCAGCAGAAGCCACAATAGAGAGTCTGTTTCAGGAGAGAAAACCCCCCAGTCTACTGAAGGGTTGGTCTCATTTATTTCTCATCAGAACGTCTCAGTGCTTCATGGGGAGGACTGGGGTATTTCACAATGCAGATTCTCTCAGTTTTCGCCAGATAACTTAAGCTTAAGTCAAGCCTGTCCAAAAGGACATTCTCAACTTTGGGTTCAAGTTAACTCAGAAATCCTGCTTTGTGAAATACTTCCCACAACAGTAGCCCAACAAATCCAGGGCCTGAACCTCTACAAACTTTAAAATAAAAGGCTCCTAAATGGTTCTAGAAAAAAGGCAAAGATCCTTTACAGAGGTGGTGTAAAGGACCCCCAGATTGTGTAAATGGAGATTTACTGCTTTAAAGAATTTCTACATTCTGTAAAGTTTAACAAGCATCTTTCCACACTTGTACATCTCACTTGCAAAAACAGTTCTTTAAAGAATTAAACATTTTTTTACAGGTAACCAATGTGGACTATAACTGCTTCTTGAACCCACTGAATGAAGCTCAAGCTTCAAAATCAAAAAAGGGAAAACAACCCCTCTGTAATAGCTATTCCCTGGTTCTGAGAAGGGCTAGTTAGCCAGCTAGCAAAACATCGCAGGGCACTCCCATTCATCATACTAAGTGATTCTTGGCACCACCTTCAAGTTACCCAAAAAGAAAAAAGAGGAAAAAAAACAAAACCCACAACTTACATTGAAGATAAATAATATGACTTTGGCTAAGGGGCTGGGGGGGGGTGATTGCTTGGGACAAAATACAAAATAAATCTATTAATGTATAATAATTTTAATATAGGATTGAAATACTGGGGAAGTGTGAAAGCAGAGTATGGAAATGCCAAAGTGCACAGCTGATGTGTCGCTCACTCTCTTCCAAGCATCTCATTTACCGCCTTTTCTTGAACCCATCGGCAGTTATCAAAACTGGGCAACGGGTTCAGCCTATCTATTTCTGCATTGCTTACAGCTCAGCTGTTTTAAAAGACTGCTACTTTGCACGACCCTCAATCTTTGCTTCGGCTCTGATAAACAATTTATTTTAAAACAAATGTGTAGCATACACAGTTAAAACAAGGCATATGCATAACATTAAAAACTGAATCCTGATCTCAGAATCAAAATTAAATATCAAACATGACAATGTGTGTACTGTTACACCCCCAAAAGCTATACAGTCTATTCTGGGCAAAACTGTTCATGCTACTGAAGATTAGCTTGCATAGTTTTTTGATAACTAAAGCGCCAAATATTGCAACGGCTAACATTTAACTGACTTAAAAGTGGGTATATGTCCATAGCATAAACTCTGCCTCCTGCCACCCACTTTCCTCCAATAGGCTGCACCCAGATATATAGTTTATCACTGACCGTGGTGTCCAAAAAGAGATGGAAGAGATGCATGAAAGAGAGCAAATCGAATTTCCACACACTAATTTTATGTTTTTTAATGTTCAATGTTTACAACATGCACACCAATGGTTCAACATTGGTCTGACTAAGACTGACAGTCGAAGACATGATCATGTAAACAGGACGGTTTGATTGTCAGTATGAACAAGGTCTTAGCCTTAAGCCCAATTAAAACCTGACTGATATTAGATGGGCGATTTGAGAAATTCGAACATGTAACTGCTTAGCTCACCAAAATGACTTACATTTTGGGTAATAACAACAGCTTTTTAACAAAAGGTTAAATGGTGTAGACTTTTGTGGAGTGGAAGAGACGTACCTCATGCTAGCATGCATGTAAACAGGACTACAACGGTCTGGTCTTTTATACAGCTCTGGTAAACGTCTTGGCCCTGTCTAGTTTCTTAGACTAACTAACAATTACTTAAGACCAGGCTACTGTGCGCTTAAAACAGTTACTGCTACACTCTTACTGTACATGTCTGTTAAATCTGAACTTTGTTGTACTGAACTGACAAAAGAACTGCTGTAGTAACCAGTGCTAACCATACAGAGAGGAGCACATCTGTAATAAGCCTGTGTTCTGCACTCCTGAGAACACAGCCTAACCTGTACTGAACATGAATGGCGCGCGTATCCCAAACCAAATATTTGCCTAAAGCTGCAGAAGCGCCATGACGAGACAACCAAACCTCAATAATTAAACACCGCCACAGCTGGTCTGAAGGTGACTATTAAATCTACCACATGAGAAAGGAGGAAGGTGGGGGGGGTTTAGAAAATGATCCAATACCTTCAGGCACATTTTGTGAACCAGACAAAAGGAACGATGGCTTATTAGCCCTCAGCCAAAGACGGAGATGCACTGAAGCGATGAATACTGCCTTACATCTAGGTCATACGTGAGGTAAGACAAATTAAAACTGACATCTTAAATGTCAACCACCGAAGTTTATAATCAGGACACTATTTAAAAAGAAAAAGAAGAAAAGAAAAAAAAGAAGAGCAAATAAGTGGTGGAGTGAGGAAAAAAGGCAGATTAAGTATTTGCTGGATAGGAGTGGTAGACTAAGAGTGGCCATTGTGTGTGAATGGGTCACCAGAGAAAGAGCCTTTCAGTGCAAAACAAGCTAATGGCACAGAGATCACGTGACCCGTGCGGAGCCGGAGCGATCGAGAGTTGCTTCACCACCGACCCCCTCCTCCACCCGCCCTACAGGACACATCCTGCTGAACGCCATTAACTCACGCATGAGTCCTCCGAGACAGACAAGCCAAAAAAAAAGAGAAAGAGAGGCAAGAGAGAGAACAGGAGAGACACAGAAAGACAGAACAGGAGAGACAGATGGGGGAACAGAGACAAAACAGGAGAAAGAGGGAGGAAGGGAGAGAGGGAATAGAGAGGAGAGAGAGAGAGAGAGAGAGAGAGAGAGAGAGAGAGAGAGAGAGAGAGAGAGAGAGAGAACGGAAGGAGTGCAGACGGGGGAGGAGAGAGATGCTTAGAGAGAGCAGGAAGGGAGCATTTCCCCTTCAGAGAGGAGGAGGGGGGTAGTGTGTGGTGCTGGTGGGGGTTGGTGGGGGGGACGTTGTTGGAGATTAGCGCAGTGGCGCCTGTGTCTCGGGGAGGGCCAGGATATGCACCAAAGAGGAAATAAACAGCTGTAAAAATCCATTTCCCACACACCCCTTACACCCGCAGGGGCAGCAGCAATGCTCCACTGTGGAACCCAAAAACACACACCTTCCACCACCCACCTGCACAGAAACAGGACTTTCCAAAAGTCACCCACCCACCCAGCTACCTAACAGAGGTGGGAATCTCTCGACTTCTATTTCAAGTCAGGGTGCCGGGATGCGATTCTTTACGCATCTTCATGCTTGATTTATATTGCCTACATTATGATTTTTCCCCCCTATAATTGCGCATCTTCACAAACAGTGTTGGCCAAGTTCAATCCGAGTGTTGCCTACACACTTCGGTTTAAAAGGGCTAATATTTCACATTTTTCTTCCATATTATTTTCTCTCCCTCAGGTCCAATCATGCTGTCTGTGTTTTATGTACCAAAAATAGCCGCATTAGTTTCTACATGATCGTTCTCCAACATTTCCTGAAATAAAAACGCTGTTACTGTGCCTTTAAGTCTGATAAGCTCTGCTCTGATTGGCTGTCCTATACTGTGCCTCTTTTAAAAATAGTACAGGCTGAAACACTGACACTTTGATGTGAAAAAGGGTCAAGCTAAACTGCTATAGGATGAATCAGTCGATATACGTAGATGTTATGACATCACAAACAGTGAATTTGAAAAAATGGCAAGGACTGAGGGACGAATATAATTTTTTTTTTAACTTTCAGTGCTTACATACTACTTCAGGCTCTTGTTTTCCATGATATGGGCATTCTGAACTACCAACAGACTATTAGTTTATTTTTCATTAGCAACGTTCAGTACTGTTGAAATTTAACAAGCCTGGACTAAACTGGATTTGTTAATGCTGTTAATATTAAAACACTACTGGCATTGTAATTAGTCTAAGACCAGGCTTAAGTCACTTCCACTGAACCAGCCCTTACATGCTCAGGCCTACGCTAGAATGTGTTGAAGTGATTTTTTTTGACCCACTCCTACAAGCTAATGAAGGATGTATGGATCATCTACCTGACTGACCTGTATGTGAGGCACTTGGTGGCTGGGTGGAGGTGACTGGTGCGTGGGGACCCAGCTGCCCTGCTGAGGCGGTGGAGAGCCCTGGTGGTGCGCTGCCAGGTGCGCCTGCGTTGCGGGTAGAGCCGGAGGGGTTCGCACCTGCTGGAAAGGCATCGCAGGTGTCTGCAGCTGCTGCCCAGGCCGTGGCACTTGCTGCGTGAGCGGGGCCTGTGCATCTGCGTGGTTGGTTTGTCTTCCCTGAGCACCCGCGCCTCTGTGGTTGGGCGACAAGGCCGCATACATCTGTGCAGGGGGAGGGTGCGGGTGCTGCTGTGGATGAGGGAGCTGCTGAGGGTGTGGATGCTGCTGGGCCGGGGTCATAGGCCCCGGACCCCTCTGTGGATGGGCCATGGGACCCTGGGGTTGGAGTGGGACACCAGGGTATCCGCCCACTTCTGGCCCCAGACCTGCGCTGGGAGGGCGCCCCTGCTGGGGTGGCGGGGTGCCTGCAGGGGTGGCCATGTTCCTCATGGGCGACATGGAGGGGGGAGAGCCATAAGATCCCTGAGGCGGAGGGGCGAGGTGCTGCTGCTGCTGCATTTTCGGCTGGGCTGAGGGCTGATTCTGCGCTGGATGCATAGGCTGGGTCATTTGGTTCACGTGAAGGGGCTGCTGGTGCATTGGTCCCTGCTGGGTCCCGGGTGTGGGGTACCGCTGGTTCCCCCCAGGGCCTGGGTAGTGCTGCACCTGGGCCACAGGGGCGCTGGGGCTGCTGTTGTTGCTGGTGGTAAGGCTCATGTTGGGACTCATCCCTGAAGTGTTGGCTAATCCCTGATTTAGGTTGCCGTATGGAGGATAGGGAGGGTACTGCCCTGAGCTGTTTACAGTGTTGCTTGAGACTGGCTGGCTGTTCATGTTAAATCCTATGTTCTGATGGGGTCTTCCACTCATGACTTGCTGGGGCGGCTGCTGGGGCTGTTGCTGCTGCTGCTGTCTCGACGGGCTCTGAGGGAACGGTGAGCCATGGCTGGCCACAGAGTCCGGATGCACAGGGCCTTGCGGCGTCCTGTGTAGGAACTGCTGACCAGGCTGCTGATGTTGCTGGGGTGCCTGTGCCGGGTGGCACATGGCTGACCCTGCCATGCCGGGGCTCTGTGATAGTCCCACATGGCCCATGAAACGGTTCGCCTCCTGAGGCATGCCTTGGGGGAAGTGGTTCATTCTTGGAGGAGTCTGCGTCTGGTTGTGCCCTTGCATGTTGTATTCGTTGTGGCCCATATAGGGCCCCATTTGGTGGCCATGGCCCTGTGGTCCTGCAGGGCCATGCTGATGAGAAGGTGGCTGCGCCGGCTGTTGCTGGAAAGAGGGTCGGCTTTGTTCAGGTACTTGCATGGCCTGTGTGCCCCAGGCACCTCCGCCATCAGGGAACGACTGGCCTCGTCCATCTCCTTGTGCTCCTTGGTAGACGTGGTGTCCTCCGCTGGCTCCCGGTCCTCCACTGTGGGCCACTGGGGCACCATGGTACCGTGAGTGAGGGGAAGACATACCATTGACCGGGCCATTTCCCATCATGCGGCCCCCTTGTTGCTCATACTGACCGAAATGATCAAAGTGGTGGCCAAGCTTGGGCTGCCCGGAGACAGCAGGCGTCGAGAGGTGAAGAGAAGAGGGGAGCTGCCCGTAGCCTTGGTGCTCATGGGTCATCTGCTGGCTCATGGGATTTGACTGGCCTTGGGGGTAGCCACAGTCCCCCAGACCCTCGAGCCCATCGGTGAACAGATTCCCATCGTCCCCGAAGAGGCTCATCATGCCTGGGTCGGCCATGGCCGCACGCCGGACCGGCTGCGCAACAGGGCTTCGGACGCAGGACAGGGGAATGTGTGCTCACGCAGAGGTGGATGTCCTCAAAGCTGCTAATCCGCTAACTAATCTGCAGCATGTCACTCCATATTTCCTTAATTCTCTCAGAGAACGCAGCGTCAGGCGAAGTCAGGTTACAGGGGACCTAGAGAGAGAGAGAGAGAGAGAGAGAGAGAGAGAGAGAGAGAGAGAGAGAGAGAGAGAGAGAGAGAGAGAGAGAGAGAGAGAGAAATTAGCACAAATAGTTCTAGGTGAGCGCCATCCATTTTGTCCACTTCAAACTGCGCTTTATTAAATCTTCAGCCACTGAGTCACAGCTGTTGAGAGATCTGAGCGCAGTTGAGAGTTGGCAAGCCTTTTTTTTTCCTTTTTTTAACCCCCCTTCAGTTAAGTCAGTTGTAACTGACTCTCGGCCAACCTATAATCCCTACCCCCACCCTTCTCCTTTTTGCTTCCAAACAAAAGGACCAACACACACACACAGGCACCAAGCCTAAATTCATTCATTCTTTACAATTCGTTGTTGGTCGGGAAAGAACAAAAGGATCCGGGAGTGAAGGAGCAGCAGAAGCAGCGGCGGTAGTTAAACTGGAGCAGCTGCCAGGCCAGGCAGGCAGATGTGGGAACACAAGCAAGCCTCCCACCTGCTGAAACCAAAACAGCCTCAAAACGGGCCGCAGCTCTCTCTTTGTGTAGCCATGCACATTTACACACACCTGTGAGTTTGGGGATCTTATTAGTAGGGATGTACCGATCCAATGTACTGGACTGGTTTTGGCTCATATACTGACCTTAATAAACAGACTTGATATCGGTCAGACATAACTGATCCAGATACACATTCTGGACTGGTCTGGTCAACACAACTGTAATGATGTAGCTAGGCCTGTCATGATCATCAATGTCTCGGGCAAAATACAACTACGTTTACGCAAATATTAAAGCGTAGGGGAAACGTGCCGATTAGCTATTTTGCGTATTAGCTGAAAATACTTAGTACATCCCAACTAATGATAAACAGCTCCAGCTCAAATAAACAAACATTACTCACTAACCCCCTAAAGGTGCTAACATATTTCAGTGCTCACCACAGCCCTCTAAAAGTATTCCAGCACCAGTAAGAAGTCAGAACTTTAGTTATTTTTGTAAAACTACTGATACATCTCAAATGCGTTGCCTGTTTTTCTTTATTTAGATTAATTTGCCTTGAACAAGCTGATGAACACTTCACATTCCGCATGTTGCAACGCAAACACAGCAGTGAAAGATAACAATCCTGATCGGCCTACCAGAAGCTCCTCAGACACTAAATTTTTATTTAAATATGCATTTCTTCCCTCCTCTTTATAGTTAAGACATGGCACCAATTTCACACGTTTAAGGTCTATATATTTTAAATCACCAGTGGAAAAAATAGCACAGATACCAGATTGGTACTCTGCAAGTGTCAAATATCAGAATCAGTATCAGAGAGAAAAAGGTGCATCCCTGTAGCGCATGTGTGGCCTTAACCTCATCACCCCCTGCTTGCTGTAATCAGATGAGCATGGTGGGGGGGTTATGGAGATGTGAGATAAACCAGGCAGAGGATGGTGGTGGTGGGGTGAGGGTATGTGTGTAGGGGGGTGAAGGGCAAACATTCTGTGGTAGGACTGGATGTTCAAGTCAACCTCTGTGTGGAGAGGCCCTCAATGAAAGGCTGAGAGTGCGCATGCAAGAGAGGGGGGTGGGTGAGGAATGCATCGCCTCAACTTCACAACCCCCTCCCCTCTGAATGCTCCTCCCCCTGCTCCTCATTTGGCCTCGCGCTCACCCAACCCCCATTTTCCCCTTTTCTCCAGCCCTCTTTTCGCCTCGTGGCTGCTAAAAGCTAACCTTCACTGACCACCCAGATCTAAAACACCATCTAGCCACATTAGCAAGGCAAAAAAAACCCTCCAGATCCATAACCAGAAGTTCAAAGACGGACTTCTTCCAGGTGGAGACGGCCAGAACCGAAACTTTCTACTGATATCAGACGACTCCTCCCCCTTGCTTACATAAAAAGTCTTCCTGCCACAGATCATGGAGACCGACAAAGAGGGTTGAGTAACGCTAGATAACTTCCCATTCGTAACGAGCCACTGGCAGAGTAGCGTGACAGGAGGTGTCAGAACTTCCTGTAAAGCAATATCACAGCACCCAGCCACCCTGGTGAAAAAGAGCATACTTACACAATACACAACATTATGAAAACTACTACTAATCATGGGTTAAACCAGTCCACCACAACTAGAACGCTGCAAAAACCACACAACTCAGCCTTAAGGGTGGGCAATATGTTGATATTTATAATTATGTTATGATAAGTGTCATAATATGCGTTTCTGAGCATCTTGTGAATAATTAGTGCTCAGACACATGAGAGCATAATTATTTGTTTCATTAGATGTAGAGTGAAATGTTTAATAACTTGAGTAAAGGTGAAATCACTGTTTTCATAGTTTGACAAAAACTAAACATTGCAATGCATGTTGTGAAAACGTCCGGAAGTATCATGGGTTTTTTTTTTGCCATATTGTCCAGCATCTCGGTGCAGGATGTTTAGGAAAGAAACATTCTCCACCCACAAAGGTTTCTTCTGCAGCTACTGTTGTAAAATTAGACGAGTTTTACAGAATGCTGGACAAACTTATGTTCCATCTAACAAACTGCAGCACACTTTATTTAGAGTCGCTACATAACGCTGAGTTTCAACGCTACACTACTAAGCTACCCAATTTATCCAGTGTGAGCCTTCACACAAAATAAAATCACTTTACCAAAGCTTATCCAGCTTCGCAACAGTAGCTATAAAAGAACACACTTGCAAGAGCAAATGCTGAGCCTCTTCCTGAGCCCAGGTGTAGGAAATGAGGCGAGAGACAACATGGACTGACTAGTTTGAACAGCTTTAGTATGAATGGAGCGAATGAGAGAGGAAAGAGGCAAAAACGTCTAAGCTTTTATGTCCCCACAGCTCTGGGTTAAGAGCAGGAAGAGGAGTTCCCTCTGTATTCTCCAGGCCTGAGAACCACAACCATAAATCAAACTCCATTCAGAAGATCCAGCTCAATAGCTCTGGCGCAGCTCCTGCCACACTGACCACCACACCGGGTGGTTGGGTGGAGAAGGCCAAAAGCTGCAAATTTGAATCCCTGTGATGAGATTTGGTGTCTAAGCCGGTGGTGTTGACCGTTCACCCAATTCCCTGGGTAGAGTGACAGCTGGCAGAGTGCCAGAGTGGCTCCCCACCCCAGGCCACGCCCCGCCGGAGGAAGATGAAGTGTGTGCATCACATGCAGAGGGAGAGCCGTGACGCAACCCGGTTACTCACTCGACAGCCGCCGGGAGTGGGCAGCCTCATCTGCCCTGAGCCAGGAGCATCTCACACACACAGAACTGGGTGGTATCATCCACACCACCACACTGTAGCTGTCGATTCATAGATACGCACATACATAACTGATTATTAATTTAATACTCTTTTGTGCATGGTACATAACTATTAAAGCATAGGCCTAAACAGGCCGAGCCGGCTCACTGGCTATCCTAGTTGTCGATATTTAGTAGCTCCCAACTGACGACAACCAGCTCAAGTTCAAAGAAACAAACATTACTCACTGCTGCCCTCTTAAGGTGTTAAACATGACGCATCGACGTCCTCTTAAAGTGGAGAGTAAAGCCTGTTGACGTGTCTCAAACAAGTATGTTGCGTGCATTCATTTAAAAGCTCGTTTTAAATTGTGAAAACTAACCGGGGAAAATAATTGCCGTCAGCTAAAATACTCACAATCTGGCGATCATGTAATTGCGACAGGCCTAGAGATAGAAATGTCGTTTAAACTTTCGATATTATATAAGCTTCTTTTGGTGTAATTTCAAGAGAAACAAAAGCAGTCCATTGAAAACAAGCTACATCAGGTTTGTAAGACATTTTTTGCATAGAACAGCAGGGCATCTTGGGAAGCATAGGTGCTCATTATTTCAATAATGCTGCCTTAAAATCAGGGCTGAAACGATTATTTCGTTAGAATCAATTACTTGGCTTACAAAAATTGATTAAAATTTGAATCTGCATAGTGATTAGTTTGCAATTTAAATGATAAACAGGGAATCCATATGCTATTATAAAGCAGTGTTTACCGGATTCGCCACAACGGGAAACACCCAAATCACTTGCATGAGCATCACTTACTTAAAAGAAAAAAAAAAATAAAGCTGAAGCTACACATTTCATATGAAATAAAATTGTGCTGTTAGGAACTATGATTCCTCAATCAATATTAATCACTAAATTACTAACAATTAATACTAACAGTACTACATAAAATTTAAAGATTTATATCGCCACGCAGAGTGACGCAGTTTTAAAATTAAACTGCAGAACTTCACATGCTAAATCCTCACTTATTCACATGCTCAGAAAGAAAGACAAACTTGTCTCCCAGGTAGGGATGCACTAATCTCATCATTGGCCAAGAGTTCCCATATCTTATGTATGTATCTGTTGGTTCTGGAGCTGATGCACACATTTGCAAAATGAAACTAGGATCAGATTTATCTGGATTAGCAATCAGAAGAAATCATATTTACTTGTAGATTACAAATGCAGTAAAGTGAATGAAATGCAGGCATTTAAGCATAGAAAATGTTCTGCGTATCCAGAATACAATAAATGTGCCAAATATTGGTCAAACCTAAGTGGTGGTGTGGTCCGATGCCAATAAGTTTAACAATAATCTGCCAACACAATCTTGACATCATCGTGCATCCTTAGTCCCAGTGATGGGGCACAATCCTCTCAGCCAAACACACAACTTGAGAGCCCTAAAAGCAAAATTTATGAACTTTTCTATATCTACAGTCACAAGAGAGGCCCACAGCTGCAACAAAACGACAACAGAGAAACCCCCCAAAAAAGAGCAATGTCACTTTAACTGCAAGAGGAGGATGTCCTTAAAAATGAACAGCAGGCATTTCCTCTGGGCATAATGGAGCTGGTAATGGCCATCTCACTTTCCATCCTCTCTCATTTTCACAACAATAACCGAGCTTTAAACAGTCTGATAGGCATACAATAAAAATTCCTACAGGTGACAGTTCAGACATCCTTTAGCTTCATAA